GCGGACAGACAGCAGGTTTCGGGGATGGCCGCTGTGATTTAACAAAAAGCCTCTTAAGAGCAGCGCCGGCTCCATTAGAGGAATGCAAAAGAGTGAGCAATTAGCAATCAAATCAATTATCTTTGCCAGGAAAATAAACTCCTTCATCAGAAAACACATCCGATGGGCGATGGGGCTACAGACACAGATATGCACAGTCATAGCGAGCTGATCAGAGATAAGCTTCCCTGGACCTCACTGGTAAACAACATCCTGTGCCCCCCCAGCACCTCCACTCCACATGCCCTCTCTGTCATCGCCGTGTTTAATTACGGACCACCGTCTCATTTTGACAGCAGGGGGGAGGAAAACAAAGCACGGAGCGATCCGAGCAGGCCACCCAGCAGTGTGTCCCCCCCTGTAACCCCTCCGTCCCTCCGTCCCTCCCTCCCGACGTCCAGGACGTCGAGCTGCCGGATTACCAGAGAAAGAGAAAGTTAACAGCGAAAATCAATTTTGACCTGCTTTTTTTTTTTTTTTTTTCTTTACTCGAAGCGGTTACCAATCTGCGCTCCAGCGGGCTGAACTGGGTCTGCTGGCTGCTCCAGTCGTTGTTGTTTCCATGACAACCGGAGGAGCGCCTGAACACAAGCACTGAGGGAGACACTTAGCAATGCTGTTTATTCCCCATCAATCTCAGCAGTGATGCTAAACTGATAATTCATTTCCCAGCGATCTCATTGGTCCACGGGTTGGCGGTGGCGGTATGAGTGTGTGTGTGTGTGTGTGTGTGTGTGTGTGTATAAATCTGTATCCATGTAATCCCTGTGCAAGTGAATACAGGCAGTTATAAACAAGCGAAATGTATTCACAGCAGGTGCATCCGTGTTTCACATTTCACTCACTGAAGCCTCTGAATAACACTTTGCCGTGTGTGTGTGTGTGTGTGTTCGTGTGCGTGCGAGACACCCATCCTGATACGTGTGACAGGTATCGTCGTTAAAATGCTGCCACAGCGTCAAACACAAGTTATTTATCAAGGGGGCCGAGGAAACGGACTGCGGGGGGAGAATATCGGACTCCGATCGCAGCGCCGCCTCCTCCTCCTCCTCCTCCTGCGCTCGCACTGGGGCGTCTTATTGCACGGCGGCCGCTCCGCACGGACCCTCGTCACGCCACGACACTGTTTCCACTGGGATCAAAGTGTCGCCACTGTGACGCACGGCGCACGCAAGGCCGCTCCAGCTCGTGGGAACCTGCCTTAATCGATGTGGGATTTGCGCTTTCTCTTTACAGCATCCTGGAAATGTTTTAATTGAGTAAACAGGCATTTGGAAAGTTTGACGTGGGACCACCGTGGACTGAGCGCGTTACCGCACAGGCGACACATTGTTATTTAAACGCTATTCCCTTATCTTATCTACTGAGCAAATAAAAAGCAAAGAAACTTTGAACACTTAGCGGGAGACTTGTGAAACATATTGACTGTTCCCTGAGCCAGAGTTCACATAGAGACGGATTTGTTGTCTATGCTTTTTTTTGGGGGGGGGGCTTTACCCCCGTCATCTCTGCTGTGGTTAAAGATCAGAGATCCGTCCCAAAGATGCATTCGCTCACGCTTCATTAGCCCGCAGCAGAAAAATATATATAAATTATTGCCGTATCTGTGGATATACAGTGTTAACCCTAATGTGAGACGCGCAGACCTGTGTGTATGCAGAGAAAAGGGGGAGGGGAGGGGAGGGGGGGCCTGTTGCTCTGACGCAGGCTCTGATAAGACTGTCCCATGTGACGCAACAGTTAGCAGGAACGCCAAAGGGCCGGGTATTTTTAGGATCCGCTCTTTTGACCTCTCACGGCGAGTGTGTGCGCGACATCCACGCAAAACACAGTTGCTCGTTGTCGGCGGGGGGGGGCGGCGTGCACGATGAGCAGCTGAGCGCCGCGTGGACTAAACTTCTGTGATGCTGGACACGGGAGATCCCACTTCAGGCAGGACAATAGTTCCTCTGAGACCGAAAAAGACTTCAGGGGAGGTGACAGTCATAACAATGCATGGGATGGTGTGTGTGTGTGTGTGTGTGTGTGTGTGGGAAGTGCACATGTCGACGTACTGCTAATTTATTTCAGCTGAGGGGTCCGATGATCATGATATCAGATACGCTGAAACAAAATGAAGAATAAATCTTGGTAACAGCAGGATGAAACCCCTCTTCTACGTGTTTAAATCCCTGATAGATTGAAATGAATCTCGGGCCAAACACAGGGGGGGGGGGGGGGGAAGAGGGGTGGAGTGAGGGGGAGTAGAGCAGACGCTGGATTCTACTGTATGCAGCTGTAAAAACACACATGGCGAACAACGCCAAGAGCTCCGGAAACAACCAGATGGACTACGTGTGCTTTCAGAGGCTCGAGAGGGGATTAAAGGGCCGTAACTTTTAGAAGAGGCGGACATTAAATACCGTTGAGAGGCCGTTTCTCTGGCCTCACGTGACACGAACGACGGGCCGTTGCAGCTCTGCGGCTGGCGTCGAGCGGCGGTTTAACGTCCACGTCTGTGCAAAAATGTCCCTGTTACATCATTTTTTGCTAAATCTGAAGACATTCCCTCCGGACGTCGCTGAGATTTCGCCGTTCACAGAAATCGGACACACGGACGGACGTCAAGAGATTATTGTTGTTATTATACAACGCTGCGCTTCGGCCAAAGGAAAGAGCTATATTTAAGAAGGTTATATTGAGTAAACTATTGTGACTACGGTTCTGTTTTTAGGTTAAATTCTGTGTGGATGTTTGGATTTCAGTTGGTCTTCTCTTGTGTTTTCATTGAGAAAGACTTGATGGTAATATTGTTGGGATTACTTTGTTTTTATTGAGGCCTTCCTTGTCACACTGTACAGAATTCGGTCTATCTGCTTCATCAGGAGTCTTTGATCAGATTTGATTGACGGCGAACGGGCGACAAAAGCAAATGCACCTGTCCCCCTTTTCAAAAAGCAAAGCCGACCCCACAAAAAAAAACAGATATTCCCTCACTTAATGTGACCAAACGCTGGTCCCGAATCCCCAAATCTCAGTACATAAACTCTTTGCCTTTTAAATAAATCCCGCGTTGCCAGCAAACAGAAGCTGGAAACAAAAAGACAGAAAAAAGAGGATCTGCAACACAAACTTCATCACAAACCCAGTGAGGTTAATGAGTTATGCGAGAAAGGGGAAACACTCGCACACAGGCGCGCGGCAGTGATTGATGATAACAGAAGGTTTCACGTACTGTACGCAGGCGACCTCTGGTACGAACGGCACCACGGGGGCCGGGCGGCTATCTGGCGGTGTTTGTTCACTGGCTGACGGCAAACACCGCGGTGGATCACGCTTGATGCCGCGGTAGACGGCAGCTACTGGGTTCCCACGAATAACGCCAACCCAGGCGCGCCTCTTTTTGCTAACGCAATGGGGTCTTCTCAGCGACGTGGTCCGTCTTTAAGGGGGCTTGTTTGCGTCGCGGTTGGACGGGATACGGTTGCACAGCTTTCTGGTAAAAACCAAGATGCTCAGCGACTTGTAATGGAGTCTTATTTCCGCCAATTGTTTTCGATGTAATGTTTTTCCCATTATGTTTTCCATAACTTTTCCCCAAGGAGAAAACAACAGCGAGCAGCAGCCATACTGTGTGACCCCCCCGGCCTCGCCGTCCTCGCCGTCCTCACCCCGCCCTTGGAGAACAGTACAAAGCGTCCCCTGTGTGGGAGCACAGAGGCCTGAGTGATACCGCTTTATATCACTGCATTCTCACACTGTCACACACACACGCACGCACAGCTGTCCGTCCAGGGCGCTTCATTCAGCCCGCTGACCTTCAGCGAGCCCCCCGGGTCCTTGACATGACGCACAAACAACACCGAGCCGCCGCGTGCGTGTGGATGCACGCCGTATCGGAAACGTTTCAAATGCCTCCGGACGCGATCAGCAGCGATTCCTTTTAAAGTTCAATAGTTTGCAGATTATCAGATTCCCTGGTTTGGCTCGGGTTTGACGTCAAGCTTTTTGATGTTTTAAAGACTTACGGTGAGCAGCGTTTGGTATTTTAGCTTGAAAGACGACTTAAAAGGTGATGATCAAAATGGACCAAATCAGCTCATGGACTAATCATTTAATTGGAAACATCTTATTGACCCCCCCCCCCCTTTGCAATAATAACACATGACACCCTATCGTGGATCCGGGTATTTAGGGACTGTGTCACACGGGTGCAATGCGCTCGCGGCTGATAACGCGGTCAGTGGCGCTCTCGCTCTGAAGTTCCCCTCGGCTCGGCGCCGGCTTTTCACCATTTCTCAGCTCATTGTTTTACGGCGAAAAACAAATTGTTTTTGGTTCCGTTTCACAGCTCACATCGACCCGTCTCCAGCCACAGCAGGGGGGCCGATTTCAACTATGATAAGACGCACGGTGTAACAAAGCTCGAGACTAGCTGGTGAGCACAGATAAGGATTTGCAGTGGAGTGTTTTCTACCAATATGGCATCAGCTGGAAAACACAAGAGCCTTTAAAGAGACATCGGCCACGTCCTCGTATTCTTCTTGTTGGTGTTCTGGAAACTAAGCTTTATGTTCAACGGTTAAGTTTCCAGACTTCATCGAAAAGCTACAACTATAACAGTTTGTTCCAGATCTTCTCACGCCAGATCCTTAAGATTTGAGATGAACCCTTTTAGATCACATCCCACAACCACAGAAGCAAAGTCCTCCCTTTGTATCGTTATACCTGAACGTCTTCTAATAAAACAAAATATAAAATATGCTTATGTAAACTAGGACTGGTTTTACCAGATAATAACATGACATCCGTCCATGTGGGTGGAGCAAAACCCTCTCAGCCCGGATACTTTTTACTTTACATATAATCCTGCTAATAAATAAATCCGGATTTAACCCATATCATCTGCAAAAAAAACATAAGTAACAACAGTTCCATCAGCATCAGCGTCGGTTGGGGTCAACGAGTCGAGCCGCTCTTACCTGTTTCCAGAGGAACTCGTCTTCCTGATTGATCTGCCACGTGGTGACCACGTGGATGCCGGACAGCAGCGCTCCGCTCAGCACGGCCGCTCTCATCCTCACGGGCAGCAGCGTGTAGATGATGTAGATGAAGAACACGGACCACCAGATGCCTTCCGAGGCGCTCCTGGGCGCCACCATGAGCACGCCGAACACCTGCACGGACAGCAGCACCCCGATCACCAGGTAACTGACCATCCACATGTAGTCCTGGTGGAAGCCGTTGCGGTTGCACACCACCATGAGGGCCATGAAGAGCGCCATCGCCACCGACAGGGCCGACGAGTAGGCCACGTGGGGGGCGGCGTGGACACAGTGGAAGGTCAGCATGATGCCGCACACGATCACCAGCACCCCCATGAGCATGGTCAGGGAGCTCTGGTTCAGCCGGAAGAAGTAGCGCTGGTAGAGGCGCTCCAGCTTGCGCGACTGGAACTTTTTGGACTGGAACACCTGCACCACCCTGAGCCAGCAGTCCGCGGCCGTCACCGCCCCCGCCGCCGCGCCGCTGGGGCCGTCCGCGTCGCCCGCGTCCCCGCCGTTGCACCCTCCTTTCCTGCCTTTCAACTCGCCGTCCTCGAAGCCCAGGTCGACCGATTTCAGGCCCACCCCTTCCCCGGGAGCCCCTCCCCTTTTGCCGTAGTGGTCCTCCTGCCAGCCGCAGCGGACGCCGAAGTTGCCCCCGCCGCCCGCCGCTCCGCCCACCCCTCCGCGGTGGTGCTGGTGGAGGGGGGCTCCAGATGGGGGCTCCATGGCGTCCGGGTCCCGCAGACAGCTCATGTAACGCGGGTTGCAGAGGGACGAGCCTCCCTTCCGCTTGGACTTCTTGCCATTGCGCTCCCCCCACGCAGTCTTGCGGTCGTCCACCCTGGCGACTAGGAAGCCACTGAACCAGGACATTCTGTGTGAGCAGAGAGGACAACGTTCAGCGCGGCCCGTGAGACGGGAACACCACCTCCTCCCTCCACCTGGGGGGGCTTCATTTACCTGTTGGGGTTCTGGTACATGTCCCAGCCCTTTCCCCCGCGGCCGGTTCACTCATTTATCCCCGCGGACTATTTTCTTTTGAAGTAGCGAGGAGGGGGGGGGGGGTGGGCGTAGGTGTTCCACGTGGGGTCCACATGCCGGACGGGGGAGCCGGAAGGACGGGGGGAGGGTGTTAAGGCGAACCACTCCCCCCACAAAGCCCAAGGAGACCGAGGTTAATGAGAGGACCAGGACTCTGCTTGCAGGACTATCGCCGCGGCTTCCGCGGCACCTACAGCAAAAAAAAAAAAGACAAAGAGATACACATAAAAAGACAAATAGAGACGCTTGTGACGTGGCTCAGATTCAGGCTCACGGCGGTGAGATACGTCACATCGTGGGAGTCTGTCGTTTTATGCCGGTCACCATATTTTTGAAGAGCGCCGACACTGTTTAACCCTCCCACTCGCTCGCTGCCAAAGACCTTCTTTATCCCACAACCGACGGGAAATAGAAAACACAACTGTTGCACAATGAATCCCATTTCCTGGACAACCGGACACACTTGAGATAGTGCTCATAAAAACGGAGACAGGTCCGCAGGACATCAAGCTACTATCAGCAGAGGACAAGGGGAGGACAGGACCCAAAATAGCTTAAAGGCCCGGTTGTTGTTACTAAAACACACACTCTGGTATAAACACACAACAGCATTTTGGAATCAGCTGGGCTGAAGATAAGGAGCGACTCTTACGAGCTCGGTTCAGGACCGACAATCGATGATAAAAGACGAGTTATACATACGGATGAATGCCCCCGGACAACGGGACACTGACAAGACAAAATATCGAGGCGGTAATGGGAAACGCAGCACGACAAGATCTGTGAGCCCCGCAGCGCCGAGCCTTTTCCTCGACGCGTCACCAAGGTGCATGTTATTGTGCGTCAGTGTGATGTCGCTGGACGACATCAACGAGATGCCCTGTGAGCGCCAGAGAAATGGTCGCCTGCGAATTAATACTCACTATAGCTTTATACTCTACTGTTGACCCAATCATAATAAAACGTCTGGTTGGATTCTGTAGACGAGTTAAATGCAGAATGTTTGACTTGTTTCCACCGATATATCTCATGGACATTAGCGGTCATCTCTTGTACTGGAAAAAAAAAAAGTAATCAGTGTCTGCAAGGTAGTGTGTGACATTCATTTGTACACACGTTGCACTACACTAATAAGACCCTGACTAGAGGCCTCTGTATTGGTGTAAATGGTGCGTCCCATTTATGAGGCCGCGTTGTGTTTGTAGCCCCGACAGAACACATCTGAGCATAGAATTAATGCCCTGATTGAATTAAAACGTCCACATATGCCTCTGAAACTGCTCCCAGCTGATCTTACCATCTTACCAGGCCCCCCTCCGGACACCCTGAGCCTCCACAGCGCGGCCGCGCGCGCCGCCTCATCGATCGGCATGTTTCCACCGGAAGGGGACACGCTGTGTTGTCCGAGGCACGAAGAGCATTTCCTCGCCACACGTCGCCTGCGCTCCGGCACGTATCCGCCCGGTGCCCCCGCGTCTCTTCAACCTGGACAGGGATTAATGGGGATTAAAGAGAATCCCTTCTTCCTTCTTCCCCCCCCCCCGACCCTCCTCCCTTCTCTCTCTCGCACACCTCCCCCACAAGGTCGACCAGCTTGTACCCGTTTGCAGAACGTCGCGGATGTTGCCAGCCGCTTGTTGTGTGTGTGCGTGTGTTTGCATGCTGCCCCCCCTCCCTTCCCCCAATAGCGTTAGCAGGGAGAGGAGGGGAAGGAGGGGAATATTCCTAGGGGACATCACCAACCCGGACACCGCCGTTACAGTCACAAACAACGCGCATTAAAGTGCATCCTCGTGGGCTCGTCGCCGCCTCGCGCGTCCGCCTGCGTCCAGATGCGAGAAATAGAACGAGGGGACATCAAAAGGTGTGCTTTTGTTTTAATTGTCCATTTTTTGGATGATACGTTTGCGATCCGGCGCATGAATCCCGCGCACGGGCAGTGCCTGTGCGCGCGTATGCGTGAGGCCCCGCATTCAAACAGCGTAGGCTTCGTGTTACGTAACACCGTGGCCTATGTGACAACCATACCGGGGACCATAAAACCATTCCGCTGTGTCCGGAGTGACCATGTTCGGGACACACGCACGCGCCTTCGTTCGCGGTTTGCACCTCCGGTCCGCAGCGAGACAACAGCAGCAGCAGCAGCTCGCGGGAGCGAAGTGAACCGAGAAGATGCGACTGAGGTAAATAAACGGATATGAACACGTTACTGCTGCTGCACATTCCTCAGCATCAGCCACTGGGCGGGTGAGGTGGGGGGTGAAGGGTGGGGGGGGGGGGTAGATCTAAAACACAATATCTAAGACCCCCCGCCCTCCTTTGCCCCCCCAGGTGGGCAGTTTAAATGAAAAGTTATGTCATAAAAAAAAAGATCCGCGGCCGATGCGAATCCTGATGAGCAGCAGATGCGACCTGCAGGAGGCTCCAGCTTCTGGATGCAGCTGATCGACACCCAGCAGGTCTGTCAGCTGTAACAAGACACACAGTGATGCAGCTCATCAACACACACACACACACACACACACACACACACACACACGCGCGCACGCACACGTCGCTGCTGCTGGGCGCCAGTGGGAAACATCAAGTGACGGTGTTTCCTCCACCAGCAGCGGCGGGCCTCGCAGCAACTGTTGCCAGCCGTGTCATCCTGGTGGACACGATGTGCTGACGGAGAAGTGTCCGCGCGCGCCAGTGCGACGGCGTCGGGGACGTTTGAGTGACAGCGGGACATCAATTATACACGGCGGCCTGCGGAGAGACAGAGAGACGCGGGACTCACCGCGATCATCTTCTCCTTTCTATTCCCCCGGACAGGACGATCCGCTTCGGCAGCGCTGGTCGGTCGGAGCAGGAGGGGAGGGGGGGAGGTGGTGGTGGTGAGGGGGTGTAGGGGAGGGGGGGTGGGGCGGGGGTGGGAGGTCGGTCAAATGGAGCCGGGCTGTCCGAAGGATGGTTCCGGTGAAATTGGTCACCCCCGCGCTGGATCTCCTCCTGCCGTCTTCTCTCCACTCCCTTTCCTCTCCTCCCCCTGACCCGCTCGGCTCCGAGCGCCGCCGTCAAGACGGGGGGAGTAAGAGCGCCGCGCTTCCGGCGGAGGATTTTCAAGTTAAAACGCATAAAACCCAGCAGTGGTACGAGAAACGAAAATACTTTCGTGAGTGTTAATGTAAAGGTATGGATATGGATACAGCCAGCAGCAGGCTACCTTCACACAAAACCGTCTTGGAATAAGAGAAAAGATGGCGATAATTAGGCCTGAAAGTGAATTGATTATTATTGAATGATTAAAAATATTCTTTCTTTCATAATTGTTTTATTTAATTCTGAACACCCAAAGAATCCGTGGGCAGATATCCATAGAGTGCTTTTGTCAAGAATATTAGTTTATTAAACAATGTTTTGTGGTTAACACGATCTCCAAAGCACACATCAGACATTGCATGTTGGTCATTTTTTTATCCACCTTGTTAAATGTATTTATCGTTTTTATCTTATTCTAAGCTTTTGTTTTAGCTCTGGTCAAGTTATTTTCATTTAACATAACACAAATCTTCCTAGTGAGATTCTCCACATTATGTACAGTTTACGCCACACTGTCCTTTTCGACCCCCACTCGATGAGGACAAAGAAGGAAATATATGGACGAAACCAGAGGACAAGCATATGACGAGGTAGGACATCCAGATGTGTGTAAACAAATGGACCAAGATTTTTTTTTTAATCACAGTATACTAGACAATCCATATGACCAAATGATACTGTGAATGTATATGAAGGATGACAAGCAGCTTCCAGGTGTCGCCAAACCGCTAAAGCCTGAGCCACACAACCTCCATTCAGTCTTCGGAGATCAGGCTGTTCAGTCAGTGTCTTCACACACGTGTGTATTTGGCCAATAAAACTTGTTCAAATTATATTACGAGAACCTGCTGCTGAACCTGCTGCTGTTTTGCAAACCACCAACACATCTCTGCCTCATCCACAGTGACGTATCTGCGTTTGTTGGCTAACTGGATATTAAAATCAGTAAAATACTATTCCCTGGGGTGTCATTCCCCAGGTGGCGTCTCATATTCCTGTTTTCGTGCATTGGTCATGTCCTGTTGAGCCTTAATTCTTTCGGGTTTTATTTTGAAATCACTTCCTGCGCGGTGACGGTTGACGCTTCTCAGCTGCTCCTTCATTCCCTCTTCCAGGGCCTCGGGACTCCCTCTAGGGGCGCAGCCGTGTCTGTGCAGCCCAACCGGCCAAAGAAACAACAACAGCTACGGTCTCCAGCGCGAGTCTCCCGGAAGGAGAAAACACAAAACCTTGTGAGGATGACAACTTATACTTTATTGAAATGATTAATACAACACCACAACTTAAAAAGGCTTTAAAGTACCCGCAGTAAATGTGTAAATTAAACAAAATTCAGAGAGTTTAATTATTCCTTTTGAGGTCTCAGGTGATGATGTATCTTTAAGAAAAAACTTTGTCCTAAAGATAATAGGTGAAGGATGACGTCACATACACGTCTCAAACAAAGTAAATAACAAATAGATTAAAACAGGTGCATTACAGGGACTGCTTTTTAAGAGAAATAAAATGGTTCTATATCTTTATTCCAATATGATGTCTACAAAAGGTGACTGGTGACAAAGTCCCTTAGAGTGATAAACAAAACAAACCTGAACAAGTTACAGTGGAAAAGACCACCGCAAATTAAGGGGAAACTTAATCTGACAACAGGTTAAGACTTGAGCAGTACAGATTAAACGGTCTCTCTCCCATATTCATTCTGAAGTAAAGAAAATGAGCCCTACGTTGCAGCTGCCACCTTTAAATAGCATATACATCAGTAATAGAATAATCACATAATCCATATTCTAAATGCATGACTTTTACTCCAAACAGAGCATTTCTATAGATATTACCTTTATTTGAGTAGAAGTTCTAAATACTTCTTCCCTCACTGAGTTAATATTATTAAGAGCTGACACTGCAGAAGGTAAAGGAAGACAAGTAAACATGCTTATTGTTGAGACTATTATTACTACTGTGATATGAGGGAAACTACGTTTATAGCATTTTACGGTTAATGTAAGTTGTAAATATGTTTAGACAAGAATGTCTGGCTGTGATCAATGGATCAATCTTAAATATTTACTCTTCTACAATTTGGAAGCAAACGTGCTCTTTTTAACGCACTTTTGAGAAACTTTTGGTGTTGAGTCATTCTGCACTTTTTCATAAAGCCAAACCAGTGCCACCTTTGCCTTTGAGAACCTGTGATTGACATTTGTCATCATTTTGAATACCACAAATTATGTGTGTAAATAAACCAGCAGATGAATACAATGATGAAAAAAAGTAAAAAAAAAAGTCTGCTTTTACAACCCAAAGTGAATAATCTCCTTACATAATGTATTATGGTCTAACAATCCCAGTGGGGGGTGGAGGGGCATTCTATATTTACTTTGTTGCAGCGTATTTCTACTCTGGAGCATTATTTTATTATTTATACATCTTACCTTAAATACTAAAATAATGTTTTGTCACATTTATTCCACACAATGCATGTGTTGCCAAAAAATATCCCCCGTATTAGTTGAGAGATCCACTCTCTTTGCATCCTCCTTTAAAGGACCAACAGCACACAGGTGAGCGGGAGCACCGCGTTTTACCGTAAACCGACACAACTGTGAGATAAAGAAGGATCCGCGTCGCGTCTCTGTCTCATGCGGCGGATGGATTCGGAGTCCGCGCCGACACCCCCGGCACCAGCGCGCACTTAGTACGGACCCGACCGTTGGGTGACGCTTCACTCCAAACGGTTTATTTTTGCTCCGGCATTTTTTTCCTCACAACTCACCCCCCCCTCCCTCTTCCTCCCCCCTTCCTCCAATGTAGCTTCATCATATTACAACACACGTTTTTATTTCTCCTCTTTTATTTCATTTATATTTTTTTCTTCCCCCCCCTACGACCAGCCCTTTGGTATATATTAAGCCCTCTATCGTCCTCCGCTCCTCCGCCCCTCCGCCGCCGCCTCCATCCGCATCTTCTCGGCCGTGTCTCGGGCGCCGTGTCCCCTCCGGTAACCCATGTCTCCGCGCGTCCCGCCTCCCCGCGCTCTGGATAGATGGTGCAAGTCAAAATGTCCAAATCGCCCGTAGACCCGCTGTCTGCCGTGGAGACAGCGTCCCAGTCGCACTACTTTCAGGTAAACCGCCGAACCCTTCTCTTTCCTTTCCCCTTTTTTTCTAGTCCTTCATTCGCACATCTAACGAGCCCAAGTGCCGATGGAGCGACAACATAAAATAAAAGGAAAAACAAAAGAGGTTCGCTGATGTCTTGCTACTTGTTGAAATTAATGCGTCGTGATTTGGCAGCGAACTACTTTTTTTTCTATTATTATTTTTTCCACCGAAACTGCAGATTGAAGATCGTTGAGCGCTGTCACATAATGGTTATGACAACATGTTGATGCCTCTGCTTCCTGTCTCCGCGCGGCGCTTCTCTTATAGATTTTGCCACATTCATTTCAACGCGTTTCACTTACACTAATGTAGGAACACCACCGGTAACTTACGTCCTAATAAAATGGAAGGAGGACTATGACTGACTCACCTGTAGCCTGAATCTAGGGCCTGTCGGCGCGCTGCAGCCTCCATGCTTTGTTATTGATGGACTGTGTCGCCAGGAGCTCAAATCTGTCTCCTGCTTTGTTCCAAGATGTGCAGCTAGATTAATTAAGTCATATATATGTGTGTCCCTACTCAATGTACGCTTTTATTTTGGAAGGTTGCATGTCTTCTGCTCTCTGTCCATGATCTTCATCCATTCCCTCACTGGTGTGTGTGTGTGTGTGTGTGTCTCTTTGGTCACAGCTGCCCAGGAAGTTGCCCAAACGCAAGAGCCGCTTCAAACGCTCGGATGGCAGCACATCCTCTGACACAACGTCCAGCTTCATCAAACGCCAGGTAAAAAAAAAAAGGCTTCCCTTTCCCCCTCATTTATGCGTGCGATGTAGGCCACGTCACAGTCACGGGCCGAGCAGCTCCCCGGGGGTCCGTGGGAGGACGAGTGCTGCAGCTCGACGAGAGCCCGCGTTTTTTGAATTGAGGCGCTTTTGCGTGTCGCTGTCCAGGGGGCCTCAGTTCATCGCTGTATGTACTGTAATGTAGGTCCACTACATTGTAGTTCCGCGTTTACTGTCCTCGCATCCAGAAACAGAGTCTCTGCTTCTTCATCTCAGAGCTTCACCCCCCCCCAACACACACACACACACACACACACACACACACACCCAGCTGGTCCAGTTTGTAAGTTTGGACCGGCAGAGAGCAGCAGAACACGGGGAAAAAGAAAATTGGCATCAGAGTTCAAAAATCCCAACGCGGCCCAGTTTTCTTAATTAATGTTTCCAGGTCAAGCTCGCGCGGGAGACTCGGATGGAGATTTGTTATTTAAGAAGAAGAAGAAACCCCCGCTGGTTTCTGGCCCTCGGGGTGTGCTGCTGGAGGGACGTTGTCTCGTCTCGGCTGATTTAATAGAGGTGGTCTTTTAAGTATAAGATTTAGATGTCTGGGACTTCTTTTTTTGGGGGGGGGGGTCGTGGTAAAGCGGAGGTAGCTGTGGTCTCCCACAGAGTCCAGCAGACTCGATCAGAACCTGTGGTCCAAAAGTTCATGAGCCTGGACCCATCTGAGAGGAAAGGGACGGATCTCTTTATGTTCCTGAAGACTTATACACCGCCTCAAATCGCTCTTCAACAAAATAAAGTACGGCAACAAAGATGTAAGATGTCACTGCCACTAAATACAAAAAAATCAGCGGTCAAATTTAATTTATGTACCTGTGTGTGTCTGTATATGGCAATTGGAATCAAGTTTTTTATAAAAGGTAAACTTATAAGCAGTAAAACTGGAGTCAGCACTGTTGCTCTGTGGTGAGAGCTTATCAATGCTAACGTTAGCTAATGCAAACATCACCGGCACGGCTGATGACATTTAGTTGCACAAATATCAACTGGAGTTATATTTGATTTTGATTTTTTTTAAAGCTTTATCTCTCTCCTGATGAATATGAAATAAACGGTGTAATAACGATTAAACAGGTTGTTTAATGTTTTGTCCACTTCAACGACTATTTCCATTATTATTGTTTTCATCAATTAATATGATTATTAATTGATTAATAAAGTGACTTTCTGAAGTTGCTTGTATCTGGCGTATCGGCGAAAAAATGACTCCAAACTATCCTTTTCTTTCCGTGGGACCTCAAATCAAATTGCGGTCGAAAAGAAAGTAGCGTCTGGAAAACGCTTCATTAAAAAAGTCCTTCATTAAATCAAAGATCCCCATTAAAATCCCCTCATAAGGCTCCGAGGGGCCGGAGGCGTGAATCCGCTCTCGGCACACAGGATGAAAAAAGCCCAGTTTCCGGCCCGCCTCCATTAGTGCGACGGAATGTGGAGCCGGGAAACTGTGAGACGTTAGCTGGAGGGGGGGGGGGGAGAAAAGGGCTGAGCAGACATCTTCTTCAGGCGGGGACATTAGTTATCCTGATCGGGGGGGGGCGGCTTAATGACAATCTCCACTTTCCTTAAGAATTATTCCCCGCTTGGATTTTTTCACGATCCTCATTTTGAAGCCTCCGGGTGGAGTTCTTTTGTCACCACCGCCACTTTTTATTTTTTTTCCCACAATATTACCACCCACCCCCCCCCCCCCCACAAAAAAAGGTGAAATGATAGATTTGTTTCATGCAGAGGGAGCGGATAGTTCTTTGTCTGTGATAGGGGTGGAGGTGTGTGTGTGTGTGTGGAGGGGGGGGGGGGCGTCTATGGAGGAGCAGTGGAGTATGACTCATTTCTGCAGCAGGATACAATAAGCAGTGTGCTGCTGTAAGTGTGGATGTATGTGTTCCACGAGGGACCCGAGGGGCCGCAGCGGGGGGAGGAACCTTGAGCCCGGCGCTCTCTCCTTGTCTCCTTTCCACCCGACGGCCGAGGACGGGGGGTCCGCTCAGAGAGGCGGTCTGATGAAGTGACGCAAAAGAAAAAAGGAGAAGAAAGCTTCTTTTTTGTGTGTGTGTGTGCGTGTGTGTGCGTGCCGATGGGACGAGGTGGGGTACGAACGGGGAAGGAGGTGTTGCAGACGCGTCCCTGGCTCGGGGACGGGACGCGGTCGGGTCCGCCTGCGTTTCACGGCATGTAGCGTGCAGAGAGGGAGGGGAGGGACCGGCAGCATCGAGCGAGTGAGTAACAAATGACTCCTTCTCCTCCCGCCTGCCTGCAGCATCCTCTCCGTCCTCTTTCCATCGCGTTGCTGTCGCCGCCGCGTCTCTCTCTGTTTGTTCCATTGTCTTCCTGACCCCCCCCGTCCCTCCCTCCCTCCGCTGTGGTCCTCTGGTTCCTTCGCCCGCCTCACTTCTTGATGCCTCAGCTCCTCGCTGACTCCCGTGATGGATCAATCCCAAACGCGGCGCGCTCGACTTTGATGTCGGTGTGACCACAGAGTGATTTATGGCGCCGCGTGTCAGAGGGCTCCGTGCACGTGTAACTTGCTGACATTGAATTACGGCCGCGGCGTTAATCGAACTCTTTTTGAAATTGGATATGTGGCTACTGGATTTCCAAATCACTGGAGCTGGCATTTTCTTGGGGTGGGGAGACGGGGGGGGGTTGAATAATATATTCTGCTTTGTGCAGAATCACATCCTTGCAAATAAAGCCAGAGGAAGTTGATTTCAGACTTAGATCGGTTCTACCAACCATTTCAAAGGTGATGCGGTAGATTTTGCTGAAGTGTTTTTGTTGTTGTTGTTGTTGTCAATGCTGCTGTAGGAGTAACAAACACTTGTCGGTCCAGACAGAAATATCTCAACAACTAAGGGAAGGGTTGCCATGAAAGTTTGTCCAGATGTGCAGGAGCCTTGAGGATGACGTGTGGTAACTTCTCAGTAGCTCAAACCTTCCATCCGCCCGACATAACCAACGACATTCCCATCACCCCCAGGCGCACTTTGTGTTATTGGCTAAGTAGCAACATGCTAACGTGGTAAAGTAGAATATCGATCATGGTGGATATTATACCTGCTAAACATCTGGATGTTGGCAATAACTTTTTGAGCAAAATGCAATAATGTTTCTCAAAATGTCTGCGTGTCAAGACGGGACTTTATGATTCAACGGCTTCTCCATCGATCGAACATCTCCAGTCAGCTGGTGTGAGTGAAGGATTGTTGTTTCTTTTATTGTTTTTGTGTGCGTGTTTTAGTCCGTCTGGTCGTTCCCATTCGCTCTTTCTCTCTCTCTCTGCACACTTGGTCATGAGTAAAGACATCTTCCGCACAACAACAACAACCCCCCATCCACCCCGACCTGTTCACCCGCCACGCCGACGGCCCGTCTCCACCGGAGACTTGTGCCGTAGACGAAATATCATCCGCCCAAACCTTTCGGGGCGCCAACGAAATTTAACCGCAGCTCAACCCGCCTGCTGGCTTCCATTCTAACCCCGAACGGTGCGGCTGGAATCCAGGATTGAGGTCATCCTTTTTTTTTTCCGAACTCAATGCGAGCTGCTCTGCGATTAAGGATTAATTTGTGTCATTTCCCGAACCCTCTAAACCAGGAGTCTTCAACGTTTTTCAGGCCAAGGTCCCCCAAACGGATGGCGAGATGGAGCAGGGACCCCTATTCCACGGAGTTTGGTCGGCCATCTTTTATTTTTGAGCTCTTTAGACGTGAGCATGAACGCGATCCGATTGGCTGGTGCCTGTTTGCATAAAACAAGCCCAGCTGGAGAGCTTCTGTGGGAAGATGAATGAGTCTTCTCCATCGATTTGTCCGTTCGCTACAATATGTTGCAGGAATATAGTCCAGTGCGTGATGAACCCACAGCTCCACTGAGGCGCCTGGACCTCGCTCACCTCACGGTTTGCTTTGGTTTGGTTTGGTGGTTCTGCCTCCCGATCGGCGAACATGGTGCCGCATTCAGCAGCCAGGAAGCCGGATGTTTCCCTCGGGAGCTGATGGAAAAGCAAAGCGCAGTAAAAAGTTTCATACAGAGATAACTTGTTACGATGTGACGCTGTATAAATAACTTCATTCATCAAATCAATTAACTACATCAATTACATCTGAATATTTGTTTACTTTTGGGATACTTGTTGCTTTAAAGTTATTTTCTTCATCACGATCAGCCAGTTAATTAACCTACATTTTGAAAGGACATCTTGTCTTCCCAAAATAAAATGAAAACACAAACTATTAATATAATAATATATACATTAATATTACTAGTAGAAATCTCCCTCGGCTGCGTCCACTGAAGGATTAATTGCCCCCTCTGGAGGAATCCACTAGCTGGATGACACCCTCCCTGCGGAGCAGAGGCCGTCGCAGCGCATAGAAACCCCCCCCCCCCAAAAGACAGCAGACACCCTCGGACCAGACGACAAAGGAACACTCGCACCGTCGCACTCTGCATTGCAGCTCGGCCCGTCCTGCGAGGCCTCTACTTCTCTTCAGATCTTTTTTTAGGATGTCTCCGCTAGCCCGGGGGGGGGGTAATCAGGGGGGGCTCTCTGCGTTCTGACGTCATGAATCGCATCTCTGACACGACGCCCACCGCCGGATTTATTCCACTTTTATGTCCTTGTGTGTTTGGGGGGGGACATAAGAATAAATCAGGTTCATGTCTTGTCAGATTCAGGTATGCACTGTCTGTCGGTGTGTCTGTCTCCTCCCTGTCCTTTACCCCCCCCCCCCCACCACACTGCCGTGTGTCCCCTCGTTCCTCGCTCTTCTCCTTCACAGCGTCTTCTAACACACACACACACACACACACATAACACACATAAACGAGGAGAGGTGTTCGCTCGCGGTCAAATATTTTGGGTTGTGTTGCATTCTGGGGGCTAAAGGTGGTGGTTGTTCTGCATGTCGGGGCAATTCTTTTTGTATTTTGAGCCTGAATTTCCTTTTGTTGCGCTGCTGCTAATTGGTCCTCCAGAGGATTTGTTTGTGCGTGTTGGCGAGATGGATGACCAGAACTAAATCGCTGCACTCAGGAGGGAAAACCAGAGTGAAACCAGTACTATGTGTCTTTTATTGTTTTTTTATTTGTTTCTTTTTTATCTTGTTTCTCGAGAATATGCTTATATTAATGTAATGATGGATCTTCACACATCCGTCTCATTTATCACTCTTCATTCTTTTGTACTTCTGAGTGTGTCCTAGTTTTTGCTGCAGCAGTTCTCTTTCCTGACAGATTCAGGACTGAGCTCCTTAATAGAAGCCAAATAAATACCAAATATAGGAGAGCTGGCTCGCACACACTCACACACACACACACACACACACACAGTACCATCGACAGCAAATTCCTAATTATTAGTATATCACACAGATGATTCAACAACGCGTCGTTTTCGACTCTACAGGTCATGACGCAGACATTTAAGTTAATAATCCCAGGAAACCATGACGGGTTTAGAATTAAAGCTGCATTTTGACTTTGAGTGCTTTATCACATTCGGCATCATTTGCGAGGCGTCCCCGCGATGTGTCCTGAAAGCCCTCACGACGAGAAGCAAACATCCTGCTAATGAGGAAACGTCCTCGGAGAACAAACATGGGGCCGTGCTTGTGCTGCACTGTGGGGGATGAAGCAATGGATCGGGGCCAGGCGGGAGAGGAGAGGAAGCAGTTGCCTTCTTTGTGCTATATTTGGTCTTCCAGAGGATGGCTGGTGTGGGAGAGAGAGCCACACAATGTGCTGAAGATACACGAATGTGTTCATGTGACACGTTTTTTTTTTTGGACTGCAGAACAGAAACAGATGAAAGCATGAGCAGAAACAGAAGGTTTTCTGGAGCCTCGTAGCAACGTGCTTTGGTAATCTCGGCATGACCGGATCGTCTCAGTGTGAGAAACGATTCATCTCAAATAACACGGTAACCTCCGTCTCTCTGTCCCTCTGTCCCTCTGTCTCCGGAAAGGGGTCAGCTGATTCGTACACCAGTAGGCCGTCGGATTCAGACCTGTCAGCAGAGGAGGACCGCGAGGCGTATCGGCGTGAAGCCGAGCGCCAGGCACAACTGCAGCTCGACAGAGCTAAGGTAGGTCCAGAGCCACATGCGGGCCTTCAGACGTGCTGTCAAACAGGGCCTAAATCTCACATCCGGATACGGCTTTTAATATTTTGAAGACAACGTACATCATGATCGATCAAATAGGTTTTCTTTCAGGTTTTTATTTTTCAAAATCAGCTGGTTTTGGTGCAAATCAGTCATCCTGAAATCCAGAAAACATCTTGGTGTGCGTTCTTCTCCTTTATCCAAAGTCTGACAAATAAGGATTTTTAATCTTTGGAGTGGATTTCAAGTCAAAATCCAAAGTCTAAAGTCACCAGATCGATGGGTTAAGACTACTTAAACCGCTTCGGTTTCTCCCGCCGGTTCCACAGTCCAAACCCGTAGCGTTTGCAGTAAAGACCAACGTGAGTTACTGCGGCGCTCTGGATGAGGACTGTCCCGTCCAAGGAGCTGCGGTCAACTTTGACGCCAAAGACTTCCTGCACATCAAAGAAGTGAGTGATCGTCATGACGATCCCCTTTCGTTACATTGGGGGAGGGAAAAAACAACCGGTGACGCGGTTCTGTTGGGCCACTGAACTCCACAGAAGTACAACAATGACTGGTGGATCGGCCGGCTGGTGAAGGAGGGAGCGGACGTCACCTTCATCCCCAGCCCTCTGCGTCTGGAGGCCATGAGGCTCAAGCAGGAGCAGAAGCAAAGGTCCGTTCAGGGCAGCGAGCGCCTCCGAGGACTCGTTCCCCTCCGGGAAGGTGTGACGATGATGTTGTGCGTTGCTGTTTGCAGGAAAACGGGGGGCAACTCCTCCAGTTTAGGGGACATGGTGACGGGGAATCGGAGGACCACACCACCATCTGCAGGTGAATGTAAGTACTGCGAGGATCTCGCCTCAGCGCGAGACTACTTTCTCTTCTGGCGCCTTTCTTCCATTGATTGTGTTTTCTTCTTGATTTCACAAGCCAAACAGAAGCAAAAACAGGTGGGTTTTGCTTCTTCATGACGCAGAATTTGCACATCGTGCCTAGTTTTTTACTTTATAGTAGATTCTCAGTATATTGTTTTCTTTAAAAGTGTTGTAATGTCTTGAACCTACCGTAGGAAGTAACAAAGCTTTCTTACTTTTCAACCATTTGTAACACCATAAAATATGATTGTGCATGTGGGTGCTTTTTGTGGCGTAATGATGCATCATTATGGTGAAAAATGGCCATAAATTAATTGAACAATTAATTTCTCACCGTTAAGGCCTTGAAAGGGTAATACATGTAATTCTACGTGGGATTAAAAGAGTAAGGAATTTAATTGAATGACCTGTGCAGACCCCCCCCCCCCCGCCGCCCCCGTTCCATTAATGCTTTCCTTGCCCCCTGCTCCCTCCGTCCCTCGTCCCCTACTTCCTTCAGGAGCACGTCCCCCCCTACGACGTGGTGCCCTCCATGAGGCCGGTGGTCCTCGTGGGACCATCGCTGAAGGGCTATGAGGTCAGCCGCTCCACGCCGAGGTTTAGATGTTGCATGTACATGAGTAACCTCTCGAGTAAACCCGATATCATTGTGTGTTCTGTCTGTTTCTTACCTCTCGTCCTCCCCCAAGGTGACGGACATGATGCAGAAGGCTCTCTTTGACTTCCTGAAACACAGATTCGAGGGAAGGTCAGTGACGTGCAGAATAATCTCTGCAGTTGTGGGAAGTCGGGGGTCCAATAAATCCCAATCGCAGAGTCTCACCGCGTGCATTTGTCTCTCTCCACGTCTGCGGCAGAATCTCAATCACTCGTGTGACTGCCGACCTGTCCTTAGCCAAGAGATCCGTCCTCAACAAACGACCCATGATGGAGCGATCCAACACCCGCTCCAGCCTAGGTGACCCAACGCCGGCACGAAAAAACCTCCCGCAAATCTTTACGGTGTGAAGACGCATCGAGCTTTAACTCAAATGTAATGTCTGCGCAGCGGAGGTTCAGAGTGAGATCGAGAGGATATTTGAACTCGCCAAAACTCTGCAGCTGGTGATTCTGGACGCGGACACCATCAACCACCCAGCACAGCTCGCCAAAACCTCCCTCGCGCCCATCATCGTCTACGTCAAAGTTTCCTCGCCGAAGGTACGACGGGTTGCTCCCCCCCACCCCCGGCGATTGGGCGCCGCCTCGTCTTCCGCCGACTTCTGACCCTTTCCTCTTCCCCGTTTCCTCGCAGGTGCTCCAGAGGCTGGTCAAATCCAGGGGGAAGTCCCAGAGCAAGCACCTGAACGTGCAGATGATGGCTGCAGACAAATCTCCCCAGTGCCCCCCCGTGAGTGGATGGTTCCCTTTGCCCCCCCCCCCCCCTAGTGCTGTCCTTCCATTGGATTTGTTACCGCGTTGCATTTATATTTAAAACAAGAGTGCGTCAGCCAACTGGCGTGGCCTAGAAAGTCCAGACTGAAGCAGAAATGTGTGGAGAAACTAGAGGAAAGCAGGAGGGATTAATGTCGTATCGTTAGTATCTGAGCGGACCTTTCAAAGTACGTACTTCCTTCCTCCTCTTAGCGGTCATGTATCCACCGTGCAAAGGATTGTGGGTCAGAATGGCCAGAAAATTACGCCGGATGTAGAACACGCTGGTATTTTTTGGCGCACTGCATTGGGAGATACACACCTGGGCGAGGATGAGTGATTGGGGTCACCGAGGCGTCCGTAGCGAGGGTCTAAAAGTAAACCTGCTACATACAACAACAACAACATAAATATAAATGTGGTGGGATCGGATATTTGCAACAGAACTTTTTCATCCCTCGTTCTGCTTTACCGTCGCCTGCAGGATATGTTTGATGTCATTTTGGACGAGAACCAGCTGGAAGACGCCTGTGAGCATTTGGCTGAATACCTGGAGATCTACTGGCGTGCCACTCACCTGCCGGGCCACGCCCCTCTCAACCCCCTATTGGAGCCCAGTCTGACTCCGCCCTCCGCCATCTCCAGCCTGCAGGTGAGGGCGTCTTCGCCTGTTCAGGACGCGCTCTTTTAAATTCTGCTTAAGATTGTACATCAGTGTTTCGCACACGTCGTATGTTGTCACTGTCTTTACCAGCTCGTCCATCCCAGATTCTCACTCCTTTTGTTTCTATTGTCTCCAGTTGTCGTGTCTGTCCTCTCACTCATCCATGATAACATTTTTGCAGTCTTCTGAAACGCGGGAATTAATTGAATGATCGCTCACGAAACGGGGTGAGTAGTAGGGTTGATGATCTATAAATCCGCTTATAGATTTAATACCGTTTAAATGCATATTTATTCTTGCACTCGAGAACCCTGTTGTTACACACCTGAGCACAGACCACACAGCGGCCGTGACAGCCAATGAGCACGTGAACATCAGACCGTTGCTCTCTGTTGTCGGTCAGCGACGGCCCTTTTCCCAGCATGCTTTGTGAATGGCGGCTCACAGTGCGATCCCGAATGACGACATGAATGGCACACGGATCAATGCTTCAATAACGTGTTCACGCGAGTTAGATAGATGACACAACAGCGGACTGAGAGCATCAGCAGAGTAACGACGTGTTTTTTTCCATCCATTCGACTGTTTCAGCTTCATTTCCTCTGTTCTGTCTGTAGAGTTCATCTGTGCACACGCACACTGACCCGAAAAGGACTTTGAAGAGACTTTGCACAGACTTCACGCTGCATAACAAGTATCTCCACCCGCCCTTTATATTACATTACATGACATTTAGCTGACGCTTTTATCCAAAGCGACTTCATATAAGTGCATTCAACCATAGGGTACAAACTCAGAAGAACAAGAAACAAGAAAGTACAATTTCCTCAAATAAGACGATTTACAATTTTCTATAGATGAGTGACGTTATAAGTACAATTTAAGTGCTGCAATTATATCCTACATTATATCATTGTTATGCGTAAATTGCAGATTATTACCACTGCTTCTTGTCAAGATTTTCCACCTTACATTTAAAAAAACTTTCGAAAACAACATTTTAAAGACAACTGTTCAATAGTTTGAACTATGAACCAAATGCTTTTCAGCTGGTGTCTGACATTAAATTCAAGATTTCTTAAGGTTTCATTCTTAAAATGTTTAAAAGTGGCCTATATTTCCTTTGCTGTACAGTAAGTAAGTCAAGTACACATAGCTGCTGGATACAAAATCAATAAAACTGCAATATAATGACCGACAGAACAACATGTCCATTGTTCCTTTGGACATGTTGTGGTTGTTTTAGGACGGATGTCCTTCAAAGTCCTTCTTGATGTGCTGTTTGCATTATTTTGTCCCTCCCTCCCTCTTGTGTGTTCCTGTCAAACAGAAGGTGTAACGCTGCTCCCACAGCTTGTAAAAGTAACTTTACTCCTTTTATTCATTCATTCATTCATCGCCTGGATGCCAGAACAAGAACCAGCCGCAGCCTTGTGAGCCGGAGGGCCTGCAGGCCGAGGAGGAAGAGGAGGAGGAGGAGGAGGAGGCGGGCGAGGAAGCCCCCTCCCCCCTGGAGCAGGACAGCCTCATGCCGTCCGACGAGGCCAGCGACTCCCTGTCTCGCGGCCGCAGGGCGAGCCCGTGCCCCAGGGGGGGCGAGGAGGAAGAAGAGGCAGAAGGAGAAGAGGAGGAGGAGGAGGACGACGAGTACGCCTCCCCCTGCCACGCTCGCACGTACAGGGACGTGTACCCCCCCCGCCGGGGGCACGCCGGCGGCGCCCACGGCGCCAACGGGCACGAGTCACAGGACAGGCTGCTCCAACGCGAAGCCCAGCGGGGCCACAACCAGAGGAACAACCGCCAGCGCAGCCGGCCCTGGCCCCGGGACACCTACTGAGGAGCGACCCCCCCTGACCCCCGGGACACCTACTGAGCCCCCCCCCCCCCCTGCAGAATCACCACGTTCCAAAAACAAAACCATTAAGCCCCTAAATATAAAAAGAGCTGGAAAGCCAGACCCGGATGTCCAGTTCGTCCACGTTCCAGACTCACACTTCTGAGTGGTAGGGCTGGGGGGCTCGGGGGACCCTCTCCGGGGACGAACCGTTTAAATTCAAGTCAACAGGGCCACTCGCCCCCCCGCCCGGGGCACGGTTTCACTATTTTTATACCTCGCATTTACTGGCCTTAAAACCCCTGAAGACTTTTAACTATTTTTACCTCATGTTTGGATACACTTTTTTTAGGACTACATGCTCATTGACCTTCGAACAGGAAGTGGTCTACCTTAAACGAAACTTTCTTTCATCAGTGATGTATATACTGAATGGGCATCCGGTTTTTGGTTCATGGCTACTATATTTGTTTGATTTTGTTAATATGAACTTCTTTGGTGTTTCAGAGAAATGTTGCCAGTCATGTCAGTTTTTTGAGGGCGGGATAATTCTCACACACACACACACACACACACACACACACACACACAGTGCGTTCTACGCATCCCTCGCCGTTGCACAATCACTCTCGAAGAAGAAGAAGAAGAAAAAACTAAAAACGGGCACATAGAATGTAAACACTATAAAAAAAGGAATGTTTATCTTTTTAAAAAGGGTGAATTATTTCCCCAACTTGCTTGTTTACACAGAATCATTCACGTATTATTAAGCACACGCTGCAGCTCCTCTTCAGAGAATGTAAGCTTGCATGCCTTTTTGCACCCCTCCCCAAACCCCCCCACCCTGTAATTCGATTGTAGCACGTTATTGATTGTAGCATCCACAGTTTCCACACCGATCTCAGTCCCCTCGCGCGCACGTTGAACATTGCGTAACGTCCTGCGGTTTGGTTAAGGTTCTTTTTGTATTATTATTATTGTTTTTAAACAAAGCAGATCCTCAGGTGTAAGTCCTGCGCGCTCCACGTGACGGATGCGTCGCGCGCCCGGAGCACTCGTAGCAGCCGTGACGTCATCGCGGACGAGCAGCGAGACCCGCGTCACGAAACAAAACAAAAAAAGGGGGGGGGGCACATTTTAAGAGTCACTGGTTTACCGCTTCCATGTCTCACAGGTATCTGTCTAGTGTTCTGTATATTTTGAAGACAAAAAAGAAGAAAAAAATCAGCATGATTGAGAAAAAAAACTAACAAAAAAAAAAAACTATGCAAGTGTTGCATGAAATTGTTTCTTTTAAGTATTTGCGTACTGCATCGGTTCGGATTCTCCTCGTCGTCTTGTAGTGATGGTCTTGTCTTTGGGGCTACTCACTCCTCACACCACTAACAACACGATTACTGAAAAAGAATAAACCAGAATGCATCACTTTATTTACCCACCAACGTTTATATTGGGGAGCTTTCAGTTTGGTTGACGCACTTTTACAAGTCACTCACTTAAAAAATGATCCCAAATCAGGCCGGATTTTTCTCCTTCAATTTGGGGTAAAAGAATGAATGAGTATTAAATCCCTGCATGCTTTAGTTCACCAATTAGTAAAGTTTCATTATATTTTGGCACAGTTCGTTTTCCAAAGCAGACCAATTTAGCGACTGATAAAAGCCGCCGAGTTATTTTCATTTCACGAAGCACAATTTTTACAACAGGTTTTAATTTAATTATTCTGTATGCAATACGAAGCCTAACATTGAATAACTTTAAACGCCTTAGACCATCTGGACTTCCTCCTTATCGTGCGAGTAGATTAAATAGAAGAAAAAACAACATTGCACTACTTTGTTTTGGGATGGTTGCTTTGTAATGCAATAACTGCACTAAATATAACCGTGTATCCACCAGACTACCACAGCGTGCTAGCGTGACCCAACACGCCTCTTCCCTCTATTTATCAAAAGAGACAGCAAATGTGTAAAAAGTGAGACATTTCCTGCCTGACGCTGTATAGAATGCTTTCTATTTGAAAACACATTTACAATGCTAAGTGAAACACGATTAAGAATAAACATGACATTTTACGTACTTTTAATTGTTTGGGTGTTTCTTTTTAACTCGATTGTGAATCCTCTCATTGGCGACGTTCACACATTCAGCGCCAACACGGTCTGCCTTGAAATATGATCTAAATATAGATCGTCCTCTTCGGAACTAGTCACTTTGGTGGTTTAGGGCCACTGGACACTTTGCTCTACATATTTTTGTAAACTCAAAGAAAGGTGAGCAAAAATGTAAAGTTCAGTACAAAATGACCACGCAGGCATTATTTTTCCATCAAGAGTTTACCACTGAAAAACCTCTGTGGGAGCAGTTTGACCACATTTAGTCGCATGAAATCTACAATTTAAAATCAGTGAGAAAGGGACGTATGCAAAAGAATCATCCCTCGTTAAAAAAGAAAATACGGTTTAATGTAGAACGTCATAATCCACAGGGAGAGACACAAAACTCACCTTTAAAACAGCAAACTTCAGCAGTGGGTGGAATTCAGTTAAAGGCCTTAATTGCTGACACGGCTTTTTCTTAATGAAATAAAACTAAATGTAGATCATACTATACAGGAATACAATGTTTACCTTTATTTTGTCTAATTTGTGGCCCTTTGGGGTGTTTGTAAATGCTTTGGTTAGTCAGTGAAAAAGGTCAAACTCTGGTACTCGAGTTGATTAGAACTAAACGGTTTTAGCAATTGGCCACATATTCAACCTGTTCAATCAAAACTCCACATGCCTCCCCAAGGTCAAGGCGCTTGAAGTTTGCTCAAGTTTGAACATTTCAACCCTTTATCTGGATCCTGAGATTTAATTATTAAGCACATTGCTAGAATACACCGATGAGCCGGATGCCTGAGCTGCTGTGTTCACTAACAAATGTTTATGTTTAAAACGATGTATTACAATTTAGTCAAAGGATCCAAGCAAAAGAAAAATCACCGTCTCTCGTGTCATTGGTCAGGAAACTGAAATTATGGTCAATAAAAACGCTACTAAGCATCTACACACCGCAGCTCACTTACATCATCACTTCCTGTTGGTAGAAGCGAAACTAAAACATGTAGCACAGAGTCCACATTTAACGCGCCGTTGAAAGAGTAGAAATATTCACACGCGTCGATGACAAACTTCCCACGTTCGAGTCTAAAAAACAAAACAGGGATGTTTTACAGCTACAAGAGAGAAACAGCTTGAGACCCTGATGTGTGTGTGCGAGCGCACAGCGTGGTAAGTCCAACTTGTGCGGCGACAGTCCGGGGGACTCAGGCGAAGATGGTCTCCTCGCGCCTCTTCTTGGTGAGGATGGTCCCGGGCTTGTGCTGCGCCTCGGGGTGGTTGGTCAGCTCCGGCGGGCAGGTGGACACCGGGCTCTCCATGAAGGCCTGCTTCAGGTCGTAGAACACCGCCGCGTCCTCTTTGGTGAGGAACGTCAGCGCCACGCCGCTCTTACCGGCACGACCCGTACGACCGATGCGATGGATGTAATCTGCGGGAGGTGGCGGATGTCATGAGCCGCGGACAAAGACGAAAAAGGACGAAAAGGACGCGCAGAGAACGAGGCCTCTTACCCTCGATGTTCTTAGCCATGTCGTAGTTGAGGACCATGGAGACGTCGTGGATGTCGATACCTCGACCAGCAACGTCAGTGGCCACCAGGATGTCTTTGGCTCCGGCCTTGAGGTTGGAGAGCGCGAACTCTCGCTGCTCCTGACCTTTGCCGCCGTGCAGCGTGCAAGCGTTGTACTGCGAGGAGAAGAAGAAGACCACCGAGGTTACGTCTCGTTTCGTATGACGGGAACTGCAGCTCACGGAGATTTCAAGTGTGTGTTAGAAAATATCTGTTTCTTTTAATCTCACTACCTTGTAGTCGTTTTAGCCACTTAATTTGCACTCAACACAAAAGTACAGCTCAGGCTCACGGGACCGGCATTGCTTAAATTATACATTAAGCAGGAGACAATGCAATAAAATCGGATAATTTGACCATGTTGGCACCAACTGTCATGAAAAACTAAACTACCCAGAAAGCTTTCCCACGATCTTATTTAATATGCATCTTTTAATGAGTCCGCTCTGCGGTCACTTACCCCCATCTTCTCCAGAGACTTGGCCAGCACGTCGCATCCCTTCTTCTGGTTGACGAAGATGATGATGGGAGGCTCAAAGCCACGCGACAACACCTCCAGCAGCTTCTTCCTGCGTCACACAAGGCGATACAAAACCACTCAGCTCAACACTCTTTAACGGAGGGAAACGTCGCTCACGGGTTTTCGCGGCCGCCTCACCTCTTCTCTCCCTCGGACATCAGCATCACCTTCTGCTCGACCCTCTCGTGAGGTTTGCCAGCAGAGCCGATGTACACCACGGCGGGGCGCCTCAAGTAGCTGCGGGCCAGCCGCTCCACGGCGGCGGGCATAGTGGCGGTGAACATGACCGTCTGAAAAGGTGCAACAAAGATAGAATAAAAGACGCATAAAAGGGCAAACCAGCGAGACGCGGAGCAGCAAAATGTGATGTTTGACGGATGAACCCACTTGTCTGTATTTATGTTTTCCAGATTCAAAGTTCATCATCATCTTCTCGGGGTCCTCCGCTTCGTCCGTGTCCGGCTTCTGATTGGTCACCGGGATGTACTCCAGGATCTTCTGGACGTCGGGCTCGAAGCCCATGTCGATCATGCGGTCGGCCTCGTCCAGCACCACGTATGTGCAGCGGCCCAGAACCAGGTAGCGGTTCTCCAGCACGTCGATCAGACGGCCGGGGGTGGCGATCACGATCTGTTGGGACGAGGAAGGAAAATAAAACACGCAGCTGGAGGCAACAAATAATCGTTCCATTCAGAAGGATTCGAGCAGCACCGACTCTAAATAGAATGATGGCAGTGTTCACACAGAAAGTAAACGTTGAGCGTCTCACCTCGCAGCCCATCCTGAGACGGAAGCCCTGGTCTTCCCTGGAGATTCCTCCAATCACAGCCACCGTGCGGATGCCGAGGGGTTTGCCGAACTTTATGGTCTCCTCCTCGATCTGCTGCGCCAGCTCACGAGTCGGCGCCAGGATCACCGCGTAGGGGCCCTGGTCGGAGTCCTCGATCCTGCGCGGGCAGACGGGAGTTACGTGAATAAATCAGAAGCGCAGAGGGATCCAGTGTGTGCGTCTCCCTGTGTGTGGTGTGTGCGTCTCGCCGTGTGTGCGTCTCGCCGAGCGCGTTCACATGCACCGCGTTACCTGTCGGACTTCGGCAGGGTGGTGATCCAGACGAGCAGCGGAATCAGGAAAGCAGCCGTCTTACCGCTACCGGTCTCGGCCACGCCGATGATGTCACGGTTCTGTAAACCAATAGGAATGGCCTGCCTCTGAATGGGCGTCGGATCCTGGATGTTAAGAGAGAAAAGAGATCCGTCAGGTTTTCTGCTGCAATTTAACAAAGTGAAAAGCAGAAAAAGATACAAAACCACAGATTGAAGTTCTAAAAGCTTATATTCCTCTGGTGAAATGGAGACTCAGTTTGCCGACCTTGTAGCCACAGCTGTCGATGACCTCCAGGATGTGATCGGGCAGCGAATACTCCTTCCAGTTCCTGATGGGGTTCGGGATCTTTCCTCCCTTGGTGGTGATGCTGTAGTCCTCTCTGAAGATTCGCCAGTCTCTGTCCGTCATCTCGTCCAGCTTCTTCTGAGACCAATGCCTGTCGTCCCAGCGCTGCTTTGCTTCCTTCTTGCGCATCTTCTTCAGTCTTACCCTGAGAGGAGAAGAGAATTATAGTCAGTGTGTTCACCTGACAGCCATTTTGAAATGAATAAACATGTTATCTTCCATCTTCCAGGAAGTTATATAGATTAGATTACAAATCAGCTTTTGGAAACCGCTGTACTCACTCCTCCTGCTCCTTCTCCTCCAGCGTGCGCCTCGTCTCCATCAGGTCACCGTAGAAACGCGACTGCTCCCTCTTCTGCTGCTTCAGGTCGATGCCGGCGATGAAGCCTCGCCCGTAAAGCTGCACGTGGTGCTTTTCTTTGTAACTGGGAGACAGATTGGGAACGTCACGTTGTTGAGGCGGGTGCACATTCAGCATAAAATCTTCCAATTCGAGGCATTCAGTGTTTGCTCACATCGGGTTGTAGTCCACTGAGGTGTCTTCAGAAGCGTCCCACTCAAACACAAACTTCCTGTCATTCAGATGTCGAGTTCTTCGGCGCTTCTTGAGGCCGCCAAGGTAACGCTCCTTTAAAAAAGACATTTTATTTAGTAAAGTGCTTGATTCAAAGGCTAAATTTGCCCTCTAATGCAAGACTTTTGATGTTTGATCTCTGATCGCTGTTTTACAGCTTGCCCTCCTAATGGGCTTTTTGTTTTGTCACCATCATCAAGGTTCCAATTGAGAATGTCGGTGTCATTTCACCTTGATGGCGTGGAGTTCTTTGCTTTTATCCTTCTCCTCTCTGAGCTTTTGCCTTCCATCATCGTCTTCGTTCCCATTGTTTTCTCGCTCCATCCGCTCTCTTCTCTCGCGTCTCTCCCTTTCTTGGGGGTCCTCTGTAAACATTGACTCAGTTCCCATCATGATGCTTCTATAAACAGCATAAACATTGTTTAAGTGTAATACACAAGCATCTTATACACACCCATCATTTTTCTGCCCATATCCTGGAACATCCTTCTCTTTTTCCTCTCATCTTCCAACAACTTCCTCCTTTCCTCAGTCTGTTGCTCCCTCCGTTTCAGAGCCTCGGCTTCTCGCTCGGCTTTGGAGAGGAACTTGGGCTGACGAGGTCATAATAAAAAGTAAAACAAGAAGTGAGGGAACAATCATCTTGGGTTTAACAAGTCAAACACAAATGTCGACCTCAGGAAACCAACCTTCGCTTCTGCCTCCTCTTCCGCCTTCTTCTTGGCGAGAAGTTCTTCCAGAGATAAAGGTTGAACCTGAACAGGAGGAACGCAGGACAAACATTCAAATAACAAGCAAAGAAACAATGTAATGAATTGTAAGACTCGGCCAAACCAGATTTTTACCTTCTCTTTCTTCTTTTTTTCATTTTCTTCCTCTTCTGTCTTAATGTCCTTGTCTCTCTTTTGTTTGTCCTTTGACTTGGGCGAGAGACTTCTACAAAAGAAATGCAATGTCAACAGATGTCATCTCAAAATAATCCTAGTTTCATTGTTAATTTGTACTAATATGAATAAATATTTGTATATTAAAGTTACGGAAGAACTTTTAACTTGTTATGATGTTAATAGTTACTGCCAGTGGAACAGACATTACTGTGTATATTCAATCAAATGACAAAAACACATTTTAGATGCCTTTCTTCTGAGGTGAGGCATCAACATTGGTTCCGTCTATATAGACGAATATTTACTCATTATTATATTGCTCTTTGAGAATCTTCAGATTGGTGGGACAAACTTCCTTTCCCCCCCCCATAAAAAGTGGCTCAACATTTAAACGCCATTCCATCATTCACACACCTGGACCTCCTGCCGCGCCGATGGCCGTCTCTGTCCTTGCGGCTTCTCTCTCGGTCCTTGTCTCGCTCACGCTCCTTATCTCGATCCTTGTCTTTCATGCGTCGGTCTCTGTTATCATGACACCAATCAAATCAAATGTTAAACACCATAATACAACAAAACTTTGACAATTTCTATCAGTGCAACTATACAGAAGGTAAAACAATAACACTGTTGGTTACCTTTCTGCGGACTTGGAGCGATTTAGTTCACGACTACGATTGGGTTTGCGCGGCGGTGAGACTTTACGTTCTCGTGAACGGCTGCGCTTCCTCTCCCGGTCTTTGGATCCCGAGGATTCGGCCTCTTTCTTCTCTGTCGAGTCGGCTGCCATCTGCAAAGACGAAGAGAACGTTGTTCCCGTTACGTTCGTACGTTAGGTTTCTATTGAAGAATTTACCTTTATTACTTCTGAGAGGACGCAAGGCCTAATGTGTGGCCTAACAGTTTTTCCTCACAATGTAATGTTTAGTCTACCTTATTTAATGTCATAACCCAGGTCATGCATAATGCATTTGTTTGTGCCTGATAAGTGAACCTTATTACATTTTTTGTTGTTGTATACTAATTAAATTCACTGTAAATGATCACTGACAGCATGGCAAAATGCGCGTTCCAAAATTACTGAAAAAAGACCAAAAAGTTCATGCAACAAAAAGGCTGAGCAAAGGTCACAGCTAAAAATGAGACAATAGAAAAGATTATAATACAATCATAGATTGATAACAGTAAATAAATAAGCGTTAGGTTAACTAAGCGTGTAGTTATTATCTCACTCGGTGAATGAATCCTTTTTTTTATTGTGATTCGCGCAAGAAGGACAAATGTATGGTTGTGATAGAAAAACTGATTTAAATATTCTCAAGGCATATTCCCCGAGTAGTAGTCACTCCACGGTGCAGGAGACATGTAAGCTAACGTTAGTTCATATCGGCTTTATTCCATAAGGTTGCTGACCTGTCCGCTTTGATCCTACACTGTTGTCATGTTCATGTAAGTTTCTGAAGTAACTTAACACGTTCTATTAGTCTTACGGTAGAAGTTATAGCCCTATTTAGTTTCATATAAAATTTCACAAACATTATAAAGACGTAGCGTCTTATTTAGGACGTAAACATCGACACAAGTTACTCTGCAGAATGAATGCAGACAACCGCTAGCGTTAGCAAGCTATGCTCTCACGTTAGCTAACAACTTAGCAAACGGGCTAATTATCTTCTATAAACGGCACAAACATGCAAAGTGAAAACCTCCCTCGAGGCAAACGAATAAACTTTATCAACACAACAAGATGGATTTGAATACTAATACATTTACAGCTTACCTTGATAACTTGTCAAGAAAACACTTGCGATTTATGTACGCTTCAAGAAGACGCCATATTGCTCCACACGAGCGATGACCGGCAAGGGTTTCTGGGACTTGTAGTACTGTGTGCTCCGAACAAAGTATAGACAACTTCCGCCTAAACTACAGTTCCCAGAAAGCTTGATATATTATCTCAGGGCCCCGATTGTTTGGTACACGAACAACTAAATGCCTAAACAAAAATACCGTGAGGCTGTTGGTGTGTCTTATGGGCACAAGGTGGCAACCGTGTTACATGTTATCACGATGCAGACTTCTATAACGATTCCGGCAAAATGTGTATAGTATAGTCTAGGTTTTCAGTTTGACGAATAAAACAGAATAACTGTGAATCATTTATTAAAAATGTATTATTGAGTACAAAATGTATTAGTGATATCATAACGATCTTTATAGCCCTCTTGTTTTTCTATCTATTTTCCGACAAGAAGAATATAATGAATAACATTACAGAAAGAATTTTCGAAAATTTGAAAGGCAATCCGAACAACAATATGAAATGGACCATCGCTCCATTGTTGACCACACACTATAAAGTACAGCCATGATGCAAAAAGGGCTGTCTCCTCAGTACCATTTAAAATCACTATTGTCTGCAGAGGATTTAAGATTCAAGAAGGGTTGTTAGCGCAAAGAAATGAACATTCGCAAAGAGTATGTTCTTCCTGTAATCTACCATCCTCTGTATGTAAGTGCATGCTCCTGCAGACAGATAAAAGACATTTTATATGCTGCCCGACTACAGTTTGGATTGGCCCGATGCTGATTCATATTCCAGACCTGCCTTTTCATCCACGCTGAGATCAAGAGAGATTTATAGAGCCCTTCTGAAGGTGAAACAGTTTCAGTAGAGCAGATCAAAGTTGATGGTAGACACACACACACACGCACACTCGCAAAAAGTGTGGAAGATACAGGGAAGAGAACAATAGACTGGTAAGACAGTGAAAAACGTTAAGGTTGCTCTCAAAATCTACCGTGGGTGAAAAGTGAACATCTAAAACCCAGAGTCCTTCTTGGAACAGCGTTCTTATATACGTATTCTCTTATTACAATACAGATCTTTGAGCTCCACAGAGTTCCGCTCGACGAAGTTGACAATTCCATCTGATATCAGGCATCTGTTTCACCGTCACCATGACGTTCCCATTAGAAGCGTTTCCTATAAAACATGTCCATAGTCGTCCTATATCTATGAATGAGTGAGTATTAATCCCACAAAAATATGTAGATTGGCACTTATGTTATAATTTTCCTCTTGCCTTATTTGTGGTACAGTGACAAAAGGCAGGAAGACGAGGAGAGACGATGCATGAGAAAAACATATGTAGCAGCAATTGATTTCATATTTTGGAGCATGTGAATCCATTCAACTACTCCCTTATTCATCTTGAATTAATCAGGTTTCTTAATTTATTTTGTCCATAAGCTATGGGAAAGGTCTTATAAGAGAAGCAAAAACAGGTTGTTTTCTGTGAATTTCTATGAATTTCATGATTAACTAACAGCAGCCAATTATTGATATGAGTTCAAATAAGGCAAACAAAGAGATTCACATTAGAGGACTGACAAATCATGTTGTTTCAAGTCAATTCTTGTGCCCAAGAACACTTTCATTCTCCTTTAACCATTTTAAAGCGCTGAAAAACAGACTCCTGCCTTTTTTCACTATGGGTGGCGGATATAAATGTGTTCAGCTGTTATCCAGATGTGCACATCCCATCTCAAACTATAACCATCCCAAGCACCTCGTGTGCCCCGGCTTTTGCTCCCTTCCCCCCACAACCCTCGATGCCAGGCGTGGTTGTCCAATTAAACCGCCAGAAGAGCACTGACTCCTGACATGCCCTCAGGGTATGCCACATAGGGCAAGGGGGCATTAATGGGGGGGTGGATGTGGTGAAGGTCAGCAGTGTGGGAAGAGAGGGGCTTTGTGGGGATGTGATAATATGGTGGGTGAGGTTGAGGGGACAGGGTGGTTGTGTAAAGGGGAGTCTATTTACCTCTTGTAGAGACACAAGGGGTCTTATCGTGCCAGAAGACCTTGAGTCTGTGTGTCTGTGTGTGTGTGTGCGTCTGTGTGTGTGTGGGTGTGCATCTGTGTGTGTGTGTTGAACCTGGCTCAGCCTGCCGCACTCGGGGAACGAAAAGCTACACGCAGCAGACGAGATAAACTGCTTAGTGCACACAGCACACGCTGACACACATTCACACACCAATTCCCATGTACATCGCCACGCATGGATACACTCCGCAGACACACGTGGACCACGAGGGGACGGCGCTGCAGCCACACGAAACTGAGACAAAGAAACTCGCTTGAACGTATTCACAGAAGTGACAAATAGGTTTCATTCAAAAGGACACACATGAAGCCTCGTATTTGTTGAATATTTTATTCCATTTTCACATGGACATAATGCGCTGTATGCAAATGTTGATATGGCTTAACGTGGTTAATATTAATGTGGGTTAGTCCTCGGGGTTCAATAGAAACGCTGTGGCGTCTGCTGTCTGGTGAAGCCTGTGTGCCTCATTGAGTCGCCCAAAGCACACAGACGTACACAAGCTGCCTGGACCTGTCACATCAGGGCAGCTTTGGGCCGAGTTATCAGACAGGGAGGGACGGATGGATTGAAAGAAACTCCACTTTAATAATTCTGCCCTGATTTTTGGTATTTTCTGTCACAGTTTGGCCTTTTGACGAGAGATGACCAGACACATGCAAAGGGATTTTAGAGAAACAAACAATAATGCAAGAAAAAGCTAAATTCCACGTTGGAAGGCGTGTTTGGCCCTTTGGGGAATATGATATATGTTTTCTAAGCAGAAATTAGATGAGCGGTATAGTTGCACTCCATAGTTTAGCTTAGCTTATTTTAGCATAAAGACATGCGGGAGGCCACATGGCTGCTTTGGCCAAAGTAAAAAATGAAAACAAACAGCATCTGTGAAGCTCACCAATCAACAGAATGCGCTCAAAGCCTAGAAAAAAAAAATCTGTCCCACAATCCTCCGTAAAACCATAACGCGACATGATTACAGTTTTTTCTTCAAAAAAAGAGATTAAACAAAGAGGATATGATGTGTTCATTTGTGAGCTTCGGAGGTGCTGGCCGGGGGGGGGGGTTGAAACATTAGGACAGAACCAAGCTGCCGAATACAAACCGTGCAAACACGAGATGGTGTCTTCTCATCTGACTGGAATCTAATGATTGCCATCAACCTATGCGGACGTTTGCGTTGGGAAATACGTGGAGAGGCATCAGAGTGGCCACGTCTGCTGCAGGGAACCGGAGAGAGGAAGACGCCCACGGGACGCACTGGAGAATGTCACTCCTCACCCAGCTGAGCCTCTGACATACAACCCCATTTTCCTCCCAGAGACAGGAGCTGCGACACTGCCGGAGCAGCTGTGGCAAAGCTCGCTGTTATAGAAGATGTGTGTGTGAGTGTGTGTGTGTGTGTGTTCGGCCCGCTCGGGCATATAAGGGAATGTAACCTGTGTGTCAGTCTGCAGATAGCTCATCAGTAACCAAGCAGCATCGCTTTGCAACCCCCCCCATCCCCCTTCCCTCCTCCTCTGCTTCCATCTCTTCCTCCGCGGTGCTGGAGATGTCTGATAGGTCGATGGCGCCAGATGTGTGCGAGCTTCCGCCGGGTGCGTGTTTTTATGTGTGTCTGCGTCGTGGTGCTTTCGTGGTAATGAGCCGCGCTGCGCTGCAACCGTTTTCTCTGACTCCCCCCCCCCCCTCCGAGAGGGTTTCGGATGGCAGCGCTCTCCCCTAAATCATCCTCCCACTGGCTCCCCCATCCTGAGCCTCCAACGGCGTCCCCGCCTCGGCCCAGAGGAGGAAGGGACAAATGTCATGACGGGACGGATCACTTGCTGCTGACCCGTTGGTTAGGTTACAGAGAATGTGTCAGTCACACACGTGTCTTTGTTGGCCTGTGCGATCCACTTTCACGCGTGGACTGATTTTCAGAAATTCACCTGGACATGGAGGTTGTATATAAATAAATAAATAAATGAATGAATAAATCAGCGGTACAGCCTGACATTTCTTGGGGGATTCGAATTTTTATTTTCTTTATTCACACAAATATACAAACACGCTCATTTAAAATAAAACAATCCTCATCTCATTCCTGGAAATCTTATTTTGAAAAGAACATGTATGGTGGTCAAGAGTGAGGGACAAATGATTGTTTAATCCCATTTAAATAGTCTTCTTAGATAGAAACCATCAGTTAATGTGGCTCGGTTACCTGGCTAGCTAGCGAGCTAAAGGGCCGGTTGTGTTGGTAAAGAACATTGTGCAAGTCCAGAGATGTAAATTCCCTGATGTGTTTTACACAAAACTAAATTATATTAACACAAATCTATGTGGAACTGCATCTTCTTTGACCTGAACAAATGATCTTCTTAATTCTAAGTAACTCTCCATGAGTAGACGTTAAACTTACCAGAAACGGGGAAATAGCCGGCCAAGTATTTCTCTAAAAAGCTAAACTAAACAACTAACTGAAGCTGTAAATTAACGATACAGAAATGTTGAACTATCCCTTTAAAGAAACTCTCCAATAAAGCAGCACTAAAAGCTGCGTCCTCTGTGAAAGGGCCGCGTCCGTGGGTCCCACGTCCACCGTGTAATCAGGCCTCGGAGCCACTTGCCAAGGATGAAAGGCCCAATACGCCTTTGTGAGACCCTGATCTGATTTACAGAGACATGTAACGCACGGACCATTTCTTAATACATGTATCTGTGTGTGAGACACTTGGAGAAACCGCAAAAGGAAAAGATAAGAGGAGCTCTGCAGGCAGACGGGCTGGCAGCCCTGTTGGTTTATCCGAAAGACGATCAAACCACTAGTTCCATTTCCAGCCGCAGAAAATCAATGTCGTGGCAGACGAGAGGCTCCGTTTATCTGGGACTGGTGATGCAAAGTATATTCTCACAATTCCCCCGTCTCCTATCGAAATAGGATAAGGAGTCACTGCTGCATCCTGTGCGCGATAGTTGAGGAATGGCAAACATTCATCTACTTCATCCGCGTTGTGTCATCAGTGTGAGCGCAGGACGCAGCCCCGCTGATCCCCATAAGAGGAAATATTAAGACTAAGTAAATGCAGTGACAGAGGTCAGGGTGGATGGCTGGTGACATAAGATAAGGAAAGGAACAGAGAAACAGAAAAGGCAAAGATAATAGGAGCGGAGACGGAAGTGGTCCATAGATTTGTTGTCTTGTTTACTTTGTTCATGTACGACATTGATGGGAGTGTTTAATAAGACATTACATTACAGTTCATTTAGCTGACGCTTTTATCCAAAGCGATTTATAATATAAAATAAGAGAAGTTTAACAAATTAGTTTTCATGTAAAGGTGATTTGTAGACTGGTAAATGACTAAATCTTATGCCTGAATAGTGTCAGCTTACCAGATTGCTCTAAGTCTGTGTTTATTCAATGTTCTTTCAATAATTTATCCTTCTTCCATTTTCATTGTTGGAGGTTATAGTGGTGATGCTGATTGTGCATTATTTTATGCTTTAGAAATGTTAAGTATTGATTCATAAACTGCTGTACATTTACTAAATCACCACATAGATGTAACTCCAGTAAAGACTTTACGAGGAAACGTTTGTGAAGAATTTACATCTAGTTGCTGCAAATTAAGTGGGAACAACGGCCGCTTCCATTTTCTTCAAACAAAACAATGAAAAGTGGCATGTTTTTCAAAATGATTCACGTATGAAAAGTTCGGCATGCGGGCGTGCAGGCGTGCGCGTTGGGGGAAGGGCGATCGCTTCAGGCTGCGTTCACGCTCGAGTGGTATAAAATCCACGGCTTGTTTTGACACCACGCTGCTGCCACAGGAACGAAAAAGTTCAGAAATCTAGATGAATAAAACCATGACTGCATCTAATGTTAAACCTGGACTTTTGTATTATTTTGTGGAGTTAAAGTTAATAACATCAGTTGGATATTGTGTTCTCTTTATCGTGGACCTCAGAGATAAATATATGTTATCATTCTTTCTGAAGACAAAATAGACGGCCGGGAATTTGATTAAATTACCCAAATAATCTCTGGTGTCAACATGATGAAGCACCTTGAACTCACATGTATAAGAAGTACTGTTAGTTAGACGTGAACAAAGATACGGAAATCAAATCACTGACGTAAATGGACAGAACGGTACAGACAAACTTATCCTCCCAAATGTTTGATATCCTTAAAAAGTCCACGGTCTGAAACTACTACACAGTTAAGCTCGGTGTTCGATATAATGAATGTACAATTTTGGAACAATCAGTCCTCATAGAAGGTCTGAGCTCCAGCCATTAAAGGGTTTAACACAGAAATGAACATTTGCAAATTTACTTCAGACATATTTATTTAAATTAAGAGTTAAAAGAAAGTAGCATGTAACAATAACAAATACAGAAGTCAGTCAATAATTTAAAGCCATAAAAGGCAACTTGACACAAAAGTTTAGTTTTTTGCTTCAACATTCATTTTTAGGGGGGGGGGGGCAGTTTTGGAAGCAAGGAAGGAAACGTACGAGGAAACAAGCCCATCTGTCAAAAGACGAGCGAGAAAAAGGGTTAAACAACGTCTGCGCGTTTGAATCAAACGGAGCTTGTTTGAAATATCGGCGGCAGCGACGGGTTTCGGAGGCCTCGGGTCCCCCGGTCTTGCGTCTAATGCTACAAATAAAAGGTGAGGCGCCATCTCTCTCAGTGAGGAAACCCCCCCCCCCTCACCCAAACCCACAGCCCTGCTCACAGGGTTGCCAGGCAACGCGCAAAATTCCCGAGAACTCCGGGACTCTCGGTGTGGGCCTACAAATCATCAAGTCCTCCATTAGCTGAGCTGTCAACAGCCGCGGATGCCAGAAGAGGGGAGGGAATTAAACATCGACAAACTACAGGAGCAAAAAAATGGAACAAGTCAAGACGCTTTTCGGGGGAAATTGAAAAATAAAGCATGAAAGCATTAATGGAAAAGGAGGGAGAAAAAGAAAAAACACCTTTCTCCAGACAGGACCAGCCTGTGACTCAAGTCAACCTCCCGACCTTTCATCTCATCGTGGGGACATTTAGCGTCAACGCAGCAGGTGCATCTCAGGTAACTGTTAACAATATTCTATATAATATTATTTCTTAAGACTTTCTGGTTGGAGGCCCGAAATGAGATCTGTGGATAACGCAGGCTTAAGAGATTTGGTTTATCCCCGCAAATATCCGATCTTTCAGAGGCGTTGCTGTGGGAGACTATAGAGGCTGACGGGGGGGAAATGAAGAAAATTCAGACGGCTGCATTTACACTAAAATCATACAAAGTGCGGATAATTTGTAAGGATCAGCTCGCTGAACAACACTTGGTGTCAACTTGGTATCACAAGCTTTTGTTTGCCACAGAGGTTATTTTCTGCAACAATCCTCACAAAGAACTAAACGGTTGTCGAGGGTGAACAGTGGCGACGTCCAGCTCGGCCCTGCAACCAATCAACCCTTTACAGTCCAAAGTTCAAATTTGAGGACTTTTTTTTTAAAATATCGATGAGGCACAGGATCATAAAAAAAGTTTTCTTGGGTTTCCTTTTGGTACAAAAACAGTTCTGTGTGGCTCAAAATAAATCTTTTAAGGTCTAGCTTGTGGAGAAACAAACAAGACCGCCGAGGCCGTCGGGTGATGAAGAAAGGGATCTGAGAAATAAGCGCTCAGAATTGACTTGGTGTTTGCTTTGTCATGGCTTCCCCCCCCCCCCGGACTGCTTGGTGGCTCATGGGAGAACTGAGTCACACTGCGATGTGTTTGTCCCCAGACTGCCTTTGCAAAGGAACACTCGGCTTTGCCAAATCCCTCCCTGCCCTCGCCCGTTTCTCTCCACTGTCAGCTTTAATTCCCCCAAACGAAATACCGCGAGGGGTCAAGAGGATTGGGGGGAGGCGGGAGGAGCGAGGGAGTAATTTCTATAAAGACCACTGTTTTAAATTCCACGGTGCCGCATTTCTGTTGAAAGCACGTGCTGTAACTGTTGGATTTTACTTCTCATCTCATCATTCAGCCCATTGTGACCTTAAAGAGACGCTCGGAAAGAGGGATGGATGGGGGAGGGCTCCGCGATCAGAATTTAAAACGCCTCCCGTCGGGGTAATGGAGTCAAACGCAGTGTTTACAACCACTGCGAAGAGGAGGCACGGCTCTTACTCTCTTAGCACTCGCAGCGAGCTTCGCGCGAGGCTGCATTTAACAGATATGTCGTGGTCCGGCGTCAGAGTTGAATATAGAGAGCGGAGCAAACTTTTTTTTTTTTTTTTTTTTGGTTGTCGGGCAGTTTGGGGAGGATGCTGCAAAGAAGACAGCGATCGCCCCTCGCCGACCCGCCTGCTTGTCCGTTGCCACACAGGAACGACCTCGGCAGCGCTCACATGACGGAGCAGCTCCTGGACTTGTCCTTGCCGAAGGTGGAGGACAGCAGCTCCGTCTTGCTGGGCAGGTGCAGCAATCTCTTGGAGAGGCGGCGGACGGGGCTGGGTTTGTCGGCGGGCTGCAGCTGGTTCAGGCAGGCCAGGGCGGCGGTGCGGAAAACACTGTGGATGCTCTTCTCCGACGTGAAGGCCGAGCACTCCAGGTAGGCCTCCGCCCCGAGCTGCTTGGCCAAGGACGAGCCCTGCGGCGCCAGGACGGAAACACACAGGTTGAGCTCTCGCAGGGGTCGGAAACGGGGGGGGGGGGCAGAAAGAGAGAGTCCCGCGACCAACCTGCTCGTGGGAGACGGGGGTCTGCTTCTGATTGGACAGCTCCATGCGGGTGCACACGTCGGTGCGCAGGTCCGTCTTGCAGCCGATCAGGAGGATCCGTGTGCTGGGACAGAAGTCCCGGATCTCTGCTTTCCACTGCGAAGGAGAACCCGGAGGGTGAAGATATGAGTCGTTTGCAGATGACGGCGAAAAAACAAAATGAGGTCGAACGACCTCAGTACCTTCTTCAGCGCGCCGTCCACCGCGTCCGGCCGGCTGATGTCGAAGCACAGGAGCACTGCGTCGGAGTCGCTGTAGCAGAGCGGTCTGACGTTGTCGTAGTACGGAGAACCTGGGGAGGCAAAGTCAGGGCGCACACTTAGGAATGTCTCACGCAGCGACACACAACCGAGCCGTTTGGAAATGAAACCCGCTGGTCGAGTTTTCCTTTTGTCGGCAGTCACAAATAGAAACCAGATATGTGTTCTGTGTGGTCTGAATCCAGTTGACACCGTTATAATGTTCCATTATTACTGGTGTCCTCCACGCTTTCACACGTTCACATGAACTCCTGCCAAACTGATAAGAGAGCAAATCATTTGACTTGATATTTCAGCCTGACGCCTTCCCACCGACAGGATTTCACTCCAACAAAGCAAAGAGTAGCTCGCTGAGTCACGGGCATTGCAACTCGGCACCGGTTCACTTCATCTTTCCATTGTTGGTCAATTGCGAAACTTTATTTGCGAAACTTTCAATAAAAAGAACACCAGATGTCCTGTGAAAACAAAATAATCATCAACTTTTTAGCATTTTTCTAGCAAAATGCCGACACCATGTCGAAGGCAACTCTGATCTGTCTGTTAAATGAAGTGCTCTCTGATGCAGGAGTCACACTAATACCAGACACGAGTTGTGAAAAGACTGATTCATGTAATCAGACCCATTTTAAACATTCATCCTGTCTTCTCTTATCTTTAATCTCTTGCATCGTAATAGTTTAACACCAAAACACCAAAGAAAATGACGCAGGAACCCATAAAATGCACCGGATTGAAGGTGTCCATGAAGGATTTCTGACCCTGCGTTTCATCACATAACTTTATTTAAACCAATCCTCAAAACAATAGACACCATTAAACCTCATTCAGACCGTGTACCCGGATTGTTGTCTAATAAACACGACACCTTAGTTGTGAGGGTGAGAATTTCAGTGTGCAGGAAACATCTCTTCCTTGTACTTCCACAAATGGCTCGGCTAAATGGAGACTCTGAAAACAGAATGACAGGACGTCCGCTCTCTATTGTCTTCCCTCCTAATAGCTCCCCACACACCAACACTGGCACTTAATTTCCTTCCCCGGTCCTCGGGGGCCAAATGTGCACCGGGAGCTTTCCTTGCAAATAAAAGAGGCTTTAATTATATCAGGAACAGATACTTCCAATAAGCTTCCTGTTTCATGTTGTCCTGAGGAGTTCTCTCCTGAGGCGTCAATAAAAAAAAACAATACTTAAAGCCCCTTTGGTTCATTCAGTCAGAATATTTGACTAAAATCTGTAATCTTATGCAACTACAATCTATCAATAACATCATCTCCTTTTTAGAGGGAATCAAAGGAGCCCTCGCATGAATATCAGGGTGATGTAAGGCTTGAGGAAGAGGAGGCAGAGAGATATAAAGAGGACACAACTTGTAGCGCCTCCCACACACGAGCCTGGACCACAGCGACCGAAACAGCAGCAACCCTTTCTGCTCGAGCAAAGAAACGGCCCCCTCTGCTCTCCAGGAAAGCAGGCGAGTGGATGTTTACACCAGAAGGGCTGAGAACCAGACGAGTGTCTCTCGGTAAGAGATGCTCAGGGACGGCGTCTCGCCACGACGTGAGAGCTGACTGGTCACTCATCAAATCACCCGATCGCCGGGAAACTAATAGAGAATATTCTGCCTCTGGTTTCCGCTTTTAAATAAGGATTTGCTGCTGTATTTATATTATAGACTGCTATAAAAAAATAAAAAAATAAAGACTTTGGCTTCAGGAAACTGAATTGAAAAACAAAGACAATAATTAAAGAAATCCCTGTTAAAATATCTTAAATGTTACAAATAAAGATGATGAAAGCGTAGAATGGAAAGAAACATACAGAATGATGAGGACTGTGCTCGTCTGTGCTGCACAAGTAAACAGGTCTTATTATTACGCAATGTTTTCTTTAGAAAGGGCGACTGTCCAGAAAGTTTTCACTCCGTGGGAGACGAACACACAAACCTACATCAGCTCGTTGCAGGTTTCACTTACATAAGAGCTTTTTTAGGCGGCACACACCATAAGGCAGCGAGGAGGTCATGCACAGCTCTCGCTCTCTCTCTCTCTCTCTCGTGCCTTCTGTTCACAGGGATCGTACGCCACACACACACACACACACACACACACACACACACACACACACACACACACACACACACACACACACACACACACACAAGCTTCTGCCCCCTGCATGGACGAGGCATTCCCCTCTCCCCTGTGAAACAGCCCCTCTGCAGGCCAACTGGCACTGCTGAACTTCCTCCGAGCACGATGCTGTTATGAAATGAATCGGTGCAGGATGGGATTCATTATTGATCCTATTTACATAATGTTTCTGTATGTTTACGCTCACTCTGTCACAGCTATGGTTCTCTGGACTGTATGCATTGGGGCTCTGGGTAAGATAGCACATTGCAGATAGTGTTCCTGATTCTATGAAAATTGTTTAAAATGCGGATCATTTTTTTGAATTCCTTCCAACTATCGACAGTACAAAAATCAAGCATTTAGAGAAGACAGAACCAAGAAATACTTGATATTAACGATAGTTGTTGTGTCATCTTTTGTAAATAAACAATGTTTACGTAATGCCTCTGACCTCAATGTGGAAGAAGTCACAAAAGAGGGCAGATAGCATATCAAAGAAAGTTGATTTGATAAAACTTTATATACACATTTTATAACAGAGGTTAAAGTCGTTTTAAGACAAATTTTCATTAGACTTCTATATCATAAATAAATACTGGAACTGCAATGATTCGCTGATCAATCAAATAGCTGAACTACAGAAAATGAATCAGCCTCACAAACAAAAACATTATTGATCTTATTTGACTTTCAGGAAAAAACATATATATGTATATTATAAAACTGATATCTATGTTTTTTAAATTGTTGGACTAAACCAAACATCTGAAGAAGTTCCAAACATTTTATAGATTATTATCATGTTATAGATCGACTGATCAAGAAAACAACCTGAAGATTAATCATGAATGAAATAATTGAAACACGCAGCTCAGAGATGAGAGTCAGGCCTCTTTAGTTTTGTGGGTCATGTCTGTAGGTTAATTGCGGTGCCGTGATGACCTTTGACATGCAGAGACACATGACGTGAACACGATCAATAGGAAAAGCCACTCACTGCGCTATAGATCCACCAATGACAACAGACCGCTCTCAGCTCCAATAACGCTTACAGACACGACTGAAATGAAAAGTTTAGGACTGAGCCGGTCAAACCCGGGGGCCTGGTTGTGTTTCTCTCACCTCTGCCTGTCTGTGCTTGTTTTTTTTTTGGGTGGGGGTTTTCGTTTTGTTTTGCATATTCCTTTCAATGCTAATCTGTGGATTTTGGGTCCACCAAAAGAAGATCTCTCAACAGATTCCACAGTGTGAAAAGCTGCTTAACGTCATCAAGCGAGGACGGGCAGATAGCGACGTCTGTCTCTGTGAGACAATGAGAGAGATGGAGTCTTCGTTTACAGTCGTTAAGCGACTCCAGGCCGACTGCGCTGTCGCTGAGACCAGACTGATGTTCCCGAGCCTGAGGGGTTTAACTTCTAAGGAGCAGGTGGTCAGGTGGTCACAGTCTTGTTCTCTGCCGGTTTGATTAAACTGTGGAAATGGGAGCTCGATCCTCACCTGATGTGTCCCAGAGGCTGAGCTCCACACGCTGGTCCTCCAGCTCCAGACAGGACGTGTAGTTCTCGAACACAGTGGGGACGTAAGTCTGGAAATGGACGATGAAGACAAGGGGGTTTTAATTACAAATCTACATGGTATTATTGTCAGCTAATACATTATTTATGGTTTAAAATGATAAGATTACGGGTAGATGTCCAATAGCGCGTTACCAGTGAGTCAGTCAGTGAATCCATCAAAAATAATTGAATAAATTATTATTTTGAATAAAAGACATACATGTGTTTATATTTGTGCAGGATGGTTATTTCTTATGTGACTAAAGCTTCATACTACAAAAATGCGCAGCTCATTTTGAATCAATTAAACATACCAGTGATGAATCCCAACCTGAGACATGTTATGTGGCTGAATGAATAAACCAAAGTCAAATATACTTTACTACACGTCTGTCAATCTATAATAATAAACGCTAAATAGGACCAGGGGGGCAGTTCTAGAAATAAGATGGAGAGGAAATAGAATATAGAGGATAAGATGAACCTTTATTGATTCACAGAGGAGACATTTGGTTGTTGCAGCAGCAAAGGGACAAAAATAGATTCATAAAGAATGTAAATAATATACACACAACTAAAATTATGATAGAAGTGGAAATAGATTTGTTTTAAAACAGTGGTTTGACTGATGATAAAAGCCGTTAAGCATAAGAATATCAGCCCTTCGAGAATAAGATAACTATTTAAATGAAGCACTACTGCACTGTAACACAATTAGAAACACGAGGACTAAAAGAAACGAGGTTCCTGCTCCTCGTGGGGGGTAAAGCGTTTCCTCCCTCGCGGGGATCCACACTTCATTTATACCGTCCGTCCATCTTCACATGAGAAACACCACGGAGCAGATGAGTGCAGCAGGTGATTATTATGGGATGTCTCCGTACCTCTGGGTAGCAGTCCTTGGCCACGACCTGTAACATCGCCGTTTTACCGCATTGGACGTCCCCGACCAGCACGAGTTTACACCTCGCGACGCGCGGCTGCGCGAGTCTCCTTTCCTTCATGATGCGGACGAACGGAACCAAGGGACGAGGGAGAAGTCCGCGCGCGCGCGCGTGGAGTCGGGAGAGTGAAGAGCGGATCAATGAGGAGGATCACTGCGGAACTTTATATCCTCGCGCAAACCCACGGCGCGCGCCGCACACGAGGAGGAGGGAAAGGGGGAGGGGCGCAGCGCACGAGGAGGAGGGAAAGGGGGAGAAGCGCAGCGCACGAGGCGGCGTCCCGCTGTGTCGCGGTGATGGGGCATCGGCGAGCCTCAGGGCCACAGCCGGGGGTTCAACAAGTACCAATGTGCCCCCCCCCCCCACCCTCTACTACACTGGAGAGTACTTGAAGAAGTACTCAGATCCTTCAGTAGTACTCAACAAAAAGTTCAGAGCATGAAAGTATAAGCCTAAAAAATAAAAAAATTACCTATTTTACAACACAATATAACTAAAATTAACACTATGTAGAAAGGACCAATTCAGACCCAAGTATTTTTATGTCACTATTAATAATGAACAATAATGAATGAAACATTAGATTCATAAATATATCAACAGCTGGATGGATGAGACTCCTTGTGAGCGCCACCAATGACGACATTTGTGGATTTAGGTGAAAGGTCTCAACATCCGTCAGATGGATTTCCATGAAATTTGGTAAAACATTAATGTTCCCCAGAGAGAAAGATGTTGATTGGTTTACAGCTAATATGGTTGTGGACTTCTTACATCATGGAGTTTAACAATCGAGTTACATGTTGAATAGTGACTTTAAAAAGTGCTGCCAGGCGTGTTTGGGTTCGTTTGGATTCCCCTCCTTGCCTCCTTCCTGCCTTGTTATTAGATGAAGCTAATTACCACCTGGATAAAGCTACTTACTTAATGCTGAAACAAGTGGAATTCATATTTTTAATATCGCTTTGAGAAGAAAGTGATTCCGAATATTTTCCAGAAAAGCCAATCTAGTCCTTTTAAGATATTTTAACACCATAGGGACGTTCCTGAAGTACTTTGTTGTTCATCTGCACCATAAAAACAGCATTCTCTCACGTGATCATTCCAGGATCTCTACTAACTCGCGTTTCCCCGATGGTTCCTCAATTTGGGATGACAAAACTCTGAGATGGTGGTACGCTTTCAGTGAAATGCAGTGACTTTCATGTCATCCTCAAACTCCTTCTGTACAGCGAGTACAGTGATGACCTACATGCTCAATATCCACCTGATGTCTCTCTGACCTACATTTATTCTACACATGCTGAAAGTTACATTTCAAACCCGTGCGTCACTTTGCCTCGCTGACATTTAGTGTGTGTGTGTATGTGTGTGTGTGTGTGTGTGTGTGTGTGTGTGTGTGTGTGTGTGTGTGTGTGTGTGTGTGTGTGTGTGTGTTATTTATGCTCTGAGGGCATAAATTCAGGGACTAACTTGTCTTTTGGGGACAAAATGCAAGTCCCCATAATGTCAGTTATTGATTTAGGATGAAGACTTTGTTCAGGATCAGGAATCAGGAAACATTTATTAGCCAAAATATGTCAAACATACAAGGAATTTGTCTTGGCGGTTAGTGCGCGACACAAGACAACAGTGCACAAGTAATAAAATAAAGTGGAATGAAATGCTAATGCAATAAGTTAGTAGAATAAGGCTAAGGCTATGGGTTAGTATAAAACAAGGAAATAAAGTTAACATTTTTAAATATTAAAAAGTAAAAAAAAAAAAAAATTAAGCATAAAGTGCACTAACGAACAAGTAACAGACAAGAGACAAAGTGACAAAGGTCACGTTAGGGTAACCATTGAGGCAGGTAGTGGTCTGGAGTCTCTAGGAGAAGAATGCTACTATGGACGGGTAAAACAAATTCTTAAAACAATACCGGTGCCTAAACGGTGCCTGAACTGATACTTCTTACTCTTTTTTTTAAAGCACCAAACAACGATTGACGAAGAAAGGTGCATTGTTGAGCCTTTTAGTGCATCACTGCCCCCCAGTGGTGACTGCAGACGCTGCATCCCTCATGCATCCTCCCCCGACCATCAGCTCACTTTCTACTTCTTCCACGACTCATGTGGCTTCTGTGACTTTCTTCCACTGCCTGGAAATCAGAGCGTTTTGTCTGTGGCCTGAACTCAAACCTCTACGTGTTACACATAAAGAGGAGTTTAAGGGTTTAAAGCTTCTTAGCTGAGTCACATTTCTCTCTCTCGCTCTCAGGAAAAGTGCAGAATTTGCAATTTACCAATGAATTTTATTTGTATAGCACATTTCAACAAGAAGGCAAATCAAAGTGCTTCCCAAAAAACATTAAAAACATCCAAACATAAAGGAGATATACAAACAGTTAAGAACATTGAGCTCCAGTCAGATCAGAATCTAGAGGCACCTTTCAAGTAATCACATGTAGAAATACCTCCCATTTTAAAATTTTCTTTTTGCTTGGTGTTTATTTCACGCAGTAAAAGCATTAACTAAATACACAAAAAACACGTTTCGTCACAGGGTAGAAAATCTGTGCTCTGGTGCCGCTCATCTCACTTGCACCTGCTGCAATCGTGACGTCAATAAAGGGAGCGTCAGGGAGGACAAGGTGAAGGTTGGACCATCGTGCACTAAACAACCCAGTGAACATGACAGGGAAACAGCAGACGGGGTTGAGGTTGAGTGAAGGACGTGGAGAGGAGGAGTCAGTGAGCACGTATAGTTCTGAGTTGTTGTGAGTATGAGATGCAGAGAGAGAGGATGAGGAATCAGGCTGCATGAATGCACATCACAGGGAGCACTGAACAGGGGAGAGAATCACTGATGCAGATGGAATCAAAAACACGCACATACAAAGATTTAAAATGCCTTTAGAATTAAAACAAGGGTGCGTCTATAGCGGTTACATCTTACTCACACACCTGGATCACCATTTCCTCTAAGAAGGAAGTGATATCGTATTTACATTGATGTGATCTATTCCTGTTTAATTAGATAAAAACATCAGCAGGTCAAATACTTCACGCACAACTTATCAAAACTAATATGTGGGGTGTTAAAGAATTCAGCTTTAAAACACTTAAATGTAGTGACTACTTTAACTATTTCACAGAGACATTTTAATTTGATGAATCTTACTAACGTGATGCAGGAGGAGCGTGTGGACATACGTTCCTTGTAATATTTATTTAATTAAAGAAATGACTGGACGAAACACTGCTTAGAGCTGCAAGTTTATTGATGCATAAAAAGATTAAACATTACAAAATGTATTAAACACAAACAGGTGAAGATGAAATACAAACATCACCTGTTAAAACTCTTAAGACAAAGATAAACATACATGTTGGAAAATTATATTGTCAAAAACAGATGAAATGTGAAACAAAGCTTTTTTAATCAGAATCAAAAGAAAAGATCACTTCATATTGAATAATATCACCAACGTGCTGAAGCTCAAAGACGTCAAACTGCCTTTTTTTTCTGCTTTTCAAACCAGCTTCCATTCAAAAAAGGGTTTAAAGACCTATGATGTATTTCCGTTAAATGATCGTTTCATGAGTTAACTACAAAACACTATCATAAGAAAACTAAAAGTTCACACAATAATTACTCAAAAAGACAAAGATGTGGTTTTTCATGTCGTCATCCGTTCCCCTGGTTCTGTCCATGCAGATGTTTTTATCCATCTGAAAAAGAGAGATTAAAGGTTATTTAAGAGCAACAGGTGTAAGTGTTGCGTTTGACCTTTGATGACTGCTGGTAGTAATACACAAGTACACTCAGATTGTACTACGTGGTCTGTTGTACTTGAAGTACCTGCAGCTGTTTCCATCCTCATATTTGCGTGAACTCTCTCCTCTGGTTCATCATTCGTCCCTGTTAGAAGGATCAAATGAATGCATGAAGAGACACTTTATTCTCCTTTATTAAAGCTCTGCTGGCCTACAAAAGCATCTCAACTACTGCAGCTTGTTCCCTTATAGAAGTATTCACATCAACCATCAATGTCTTTAAGCTCAAACACAGAATCTGTGACATCATCGATACACTTTGTCTTTAATTTAAAGGTCAACCAGTCACTTGATCATCTGATTCTAGTATTTTAACAGCTGTGTGATGAACACACAGGATTTACTGTTTATCTTAAGATAACTTCTAATTCAGTGACACCTTTTCTCACTCAGACTGTAACACATGTTACAAAACTCGTACTCACATTTCACTGACAACCAGCTCTCTGCTGAGGTCAAAGTCTCCAAACCTTGAGGTGATTTCCTTCCTCTACATTTATAAAAGCCTTCATCTGACTTAGTAACTGCAGAGATAAGCAGCTCCCCTCTGGCAGGATTTGGGATGAGTTTGTCATTTTTATAGAAATCCACATTATAAAGAAGGTTTTCTGTCCTCAACTTGCAGCCAAGAGTGACGGAATGTCCCTCAGTCACAGGACGGACAGGACTCACCAGGATGACATCACCACCTGTAAAGACACCAGAGGACAGGAAGTCAAACAAGCTGATGAACAATGAGGAGAAGACATTTATAGTTTACATTTGTTATTCACAGTCACACAGTAGCTGAGCGAATAGCTGCATTTCATGGATGGAAGAGACGGCCCTTTGGTGACGTACATGCTCACAGTTACATCTTTAATTAATGCTCAATATGTCGGGAGACAAATGTCCACTTAGTGGCAGTGAGCTACAGAATGGTCTAAAAGGTACAAAGTGAGCAGATAACTCTACAGCTCCTCCTGGTTTAAAGTCAATGGTGGATGTCAATGGTCATAAAGAGGAAAGTAAACCACAAAGACGTGTTGGATAATACAGAGAAATGATACTGCAACAAACTAAGATTGTTGAGTCGTTTGTTAAAATAAATATTGAGTTAAACTCATCATGAAGTCACCTTAAAAATGTCAGCACTCTGTAATAAGATGTAAATACTTTAGATATAAAACCTTTAAATGAATATAAACTCACTGTGTATAGTGATGTTGGCTGCATTGCTGGACTGTGTTTCAGACTCACACCAGTACACTCCACTACTCGCTCTAGTGTCGGTGTTGCATGTGGATCCATTCATTTCTCCCCAGTAATAACAGCGAGACACGTAGCCATCTTCTTCATCCTTCTTCACTCTCCACTCAGTAGAGTTTCCCTCACAGATCAGTGACAGTGACTCTGTGCTGAAGTGCTGCAGTCTGTGAGGACTCACTGTGAGAGACGCTGCTGGATTCACACCTGAAGACACATCATTAGGAGACACACACAGGACAAACAATGTCAACACAAACAGGACATTTATTCCCTTGTGCAAGAATATAAAAGTCTGAACAAACTCACCTCCAGACAAGACAAACTTCACACCACTAAACTGAGTGTAAAACACAGGATCTCCTCTTCTAGCTCTGCACGCATATCCTGCTGTGTGTGTGTGTCCATGAAGAATGTAGGAATCCTGTTCAGTCCCAGTGGTGCCACCAGCTAGAAGCTCATAGGTGTAGTAGTTGTAGGTGGATGACATGTCTGGAACAGCCTTATACCAGAAGAACCTCCATCCTGCAGACGGAGGTTCGACACTGCAGGTCAGAGTCACTGAGTCTCCAGGACTCGTCCATGATGGAGACACTGTGAGGACAGGACGAGGGACATCTGTTGGAAAGAGGTTTGACAGAATAAAGACGTGTTATGATGAGTCCTTGGTGGATTACTGTCACTGCTGATGTCCTCCATCTTTTTATCTGTCTTCAGGTGTTAAACAGGTGTTTGGGTACAATGTCTTTAAACATAGTAACTAATCTCACATTTCAAATATTCTATTTCAGATTCTTTGTCCTTAAATCTGCACTTGTAAGAGCTCCCATCAGACATCAGAGAAATGGTGATTTCATGTGTGTGTTGATGGTTTGTGTCCATCTCAATAAGTGTTTTGTCTTTGTAGAAGTCAGCATTCTTCTCCTTTCTCTGGTCTCCATGTCGACAGTGAAGAGTCACTGATTCTCCTTCATACAAGGAGGACGCAGGAGTTAAAGGATCACATCTCTGTCTGTGGAACAGTTACTTCTTTACTTTACTAAATCAGTTTCATTAAATGAACAATGATACAATATATCAGTGATTTATGTTTCCTACATAATTATAATTTAACATAAAGTTGCAAACAGAAGAAGATGTCAAAGTCAGTCTCCCTGTAATAAATAATAAAAGGTTCACTGAGTAATGAGAACATTTCACCTGAAGGAGGCGCCACACTCTGCTGATGTGTTTGATTTACTTGTGTTATCAATAATAAAATCAATAACTAATTTATAATTTGTCGACAAGGAAAAAATATAGGATGGTTTGTCTCAACTCTATCCATCTGGCTGTTGTTTTAATCGAAATTGATCAATATTATCTGATAATTGATCCTTTTTAACAAAGATCAGCTAATTAACATTTATTAATTATCACTACATTATATTACATTAGCACTTCATCAAACAGGTTTATTAAATCAACACGTCACTGAGTGAGTTTTATGCTTCATTAACTGAAGTTTTCAAACATGCACCAGACGGCACAGAAGATGCTGCTGTTGTTTGTCTCTACGTGTGTGAACAGACTTTTAGTGATGAACACCAACAAAGCACCTCACAGGTCACAGTGAGTGATGAACACCTCACATCTGTTCTGAGAATTGACAACAAAACTAACAGCAGACTTTGATGCAGCGGCAAAGAAGGATGATCGACTGCACTGTTCCCATTAAAAGTCAATGTGAGTATTAACACTGTAAAGCCTTTTATGTTCATGGTTGATATGTTTGCATCTGGTAATTCCCGACCCGTCTGTCAAACTATAAAGTCAATGGTGGATGTCAATGGACATTAAGAGGAAAGTAAACCACAAAGACGTGTTGGATAATACAGAGAAATGATACTGCAACAAACTAAGATTGTTGAATCGTTTGGTCAAATAAATATTGAGTTAAACTCGTCATGAAGTCACCTTAAAAATGTCAGCACTCTGTAATAAGATGTAAATACTTTAGATATAAAAACCTTTAAATGAATATAAACTCACTGTGTATAGTGATGTTGGCTGCATTGCTGGACTGTGTTTCAGACTCACACCAGTACACTCCACTACTCGCTCTAGTGGTGTTGCATGTGGATCCAGTCATTTCTCCCCAGTTATAACAGGATGACATGTCACCATCTTCATCAACCGTCCTCACTCTCCACTCAGCAGAGTTTCCCTCACAGATCAGTGACAGTGACTCTGTGCTGAAGTACTGCAGTCTGTGAGGACTCACTGTGAGAGACGCTGCTGGATTCACACCTGAAGACACATCATTAGGAGACACACACAGGACAAACAATGTCAACACAAAAAGGACATTTATTCCCTTGTGCAAGAATATAAAAGTCTGAACAAACTCACCTCCAGACCAGACAAACTTCAAACGACTATACTGAGTGTAAGACACAGGATCTCCTCTTCCAGCTCTGCACGCATATCCTGCTGTGTGTGTCTGTCCATGAATAATGTAGGAGTCCTGTTCAGTCCCAGTGGTGCCACCAGCTAGAAGCTCAGAGGTGTTGTAGGTGTAGTGGTCTGACAGGTCTGGAACAGCCTTATACCAGAAGAACCTCCATCCTGCAGACGGAGGTTCAACACTGCAGGTCAGAGTCACTGAGTCTCCAGGACTCGTCCATGATGGAGACACTGTGAGGACAGGACGAGGGACACCTGTTGGAAAGAGGTTTGACAGAATAAAGACGTGTTATGATGAGTCCTTGGTGGATTACTGTCACTGCTGATGTCCTCCATCTTTTTATCTGTCTTCATGTGTTAAACAGGTGTTTGGTACAATGTCTTTAAACATCGTAACTAATCTCACATTTCAAATATTCTATTTCAGATTCTTTGTCCTTAAATCTGCACTTGTAAGAGCTCCCATCAGACATCAGAGAAATGGTGATTTCATGTGTGTGTTGATGGTTTGTGTCCATCTCAATAAGTGTTTTGTCTTTGTAGAAGTCAGCATTCTTCTCCTTTCTCTGGTCTCCATGTCGACAGTGAAGAGTCACTGATTCTCCTTCATACAAGGAGGACTCAGGAGTTAAAGGATCACATCTCTGTCTGTGTAACAGTTACTTCTTTACTTTACTAAATCAGTTTCATTAAATGAACAATGATACAAGAAATCAGTGATTTATGTTTCCTACATAATTATAATTTAACATAAAGTTGCAAACAGAAGAAGATGTCAAAGTCAGTCTCCCTGTAATAAATAATAAAAGGTTCACTGAGGCCCCGGGTCCCAAAGATTTTCAACTCACACCTCCGGCGGAGCTTCTCTCACATTCCTGTGGAGGTAGGGGACATTGAACCAGAGTGGTCTATGTTCAAAAACTCCATTGCTGAATCCGCGGCGGTGAGTTGTGGCCTCACGTCTAAGGTGCATCAGGCGTACCTCGACCGTGTGACACGTGTCAGTAGCGTCGACTGAGAGGGAAGCAGTCGGACTGAAGAAGATGTCTTCAGGGTCATGATATCCAGTGGGACTCAGAAGCAGTGCAGTGTAGCGTCAGGATCGAAAGCAGTAGCTCTGACCTGATGGAGAAAGCAGCGAGTATGCAGAGTCGGCGTACTTGGAAAAGACTTCGACGGACGAAGTGCTTGAATACATCGCACTTAAGGAGGGGAAACGGGGAACCATTCAAGCTGTGTACAGTAAAGGATGGACCCTGTTAACCGCGACTGAGGAAGTATCGGGCGGGGGAGAAGAACACCTTGAGGAACTCCTGAACCCAACTACTACGCCCTCTTTGGTAGAGGCGGAGCTGGAGGCGGAAGGAGGGATCATCGTCAATTGGCCTGGTG